CACCCACTCTTCCCTCAAGATTTTGAGCTTACGTGGCCAATTTCCACAGTGCCTGAAAGAATAAAAGTTCCTAAAATGTTTCCTGAGCAGAGATACCCAGTTCAAACACAGGTACTTTATGCAGATGTCAGGGAAACCACCCCAGTGGGTGCTGGCGGTGGGCCCTGTGTGCCCCAGCTCCCCGTGGGCCCGCTGGGGGTTGAGCATTGCAGTCTGCATGGCAGCACCTCTCCAGCCCCTCTGGCATGGTGAAGCCCACAGAGAAGTCAGACACTAGGCTGTGGCTCAGGCTTCATGCCCCCAGATAATCCCTCACTTCATTATGAGATGGGATTTAAAAACTGCAGAGCAGTGAAAAGCTTCTACTGGATGGTAGGAAGAGAACCCCTTAATAAACACAAAAATCCTATTAAAAAATATATATATACATAACTGTGCTGCCACAGTTATTGAGGCATTGGTGACAGCTCTCCTGATTTATCACGACTTTTGCAGTTGGCAGTGCTTTTATTTTTAGTGACTGACCACTGGAGCCCTGCTACTGCAGGAGCCGTTTTCTCTATCTTTTTAATACAAGCCAGAGTCTAGATGCCATTTTTGGAGAGGGAAGCTATAAAAGGTGAAATAAATACAGAATAAGGTTTTTAAAGCCAGAAGGCTGGTCAGAAAATCCACAGTACTTTTTAATTTCCTTAGTTTTTAGTATTTGACTGAAAACACAAGTCTTACAATGATGAATCATATGAATAATTGGTTCATTCAGATTACCAGAACAAACCAGGGAGTAGCACATCACTCAGGGCATTCTGCTATGCAAAAAATTGTGTACTGAGTGAAGATAAGTGCTTAGGAGATGATCCAAAATGCCACAGCAAAGGAACAACCAACTGAGTGCCTTCATTTCTCTCCAAGCACTATGATAAATCCATCATTTATTTGTAGTTTCACTTGAAAACATAGGTGTCCTGGAGTGAGTGTCTGATTGTCATTAAGTTGGAACAGGCTCCACAGAAAACAGGGTATTTTTGTGGAGGTATTTTTGTTACTGATTGGCAACACATTGCACAGGACTCACCCAGCTATCAGTGTGGGTAGGTGAGATGCATTTCTACTATAGAGCTTTTTGTGAGAAACCTGAACCCATTTAAAGTAGATACAGAAGGGGAAAAAAGTTCTGGTGGTGATGCCCTTTCAGAGCATTTTGCACATTTTCTGGTGTTCTTCTGCAGTGGGAGGACTTTTTCCTGGTGCTTTGTCTCTTGCTATGCAGGGTGCGTGAGACTGCAGGGTCCCCAGGGTAGAAAAAGTAGGCAGAAAAAATGTTGTTTTACCAGTGTTGTGCAGACCTACACTGTCTACAGACCTACACTCTTTGGTCAGGGCTGTAAAAACAGGATATTTTTTCTTTCCTGCTTTCTGTGACCTCCTTGGCTGCTTGCAAAGACCCATGAGCTTGAATCTTGTCATCTGCCCAGCAACCTCCCAAAGTATTTTAGGAGTGCCACATGGAGCACCAGCTCACAGTACTTACAGCATTGCATAGTGCTCCAGTGGCAGCAATTCAATCCTTATTTGGGTTTCAGCCAATGTTTGTTGTCCTCCTTGGAAATGGTATTGATTATTTTTGCTGAGGAGCCAGTTATGGCTGCTATGATACTCACCACCTCTCTTCCCAGGATGATGTGTGCCGTGGAGGCTGCTCCACTTCAGCTGGGGCTGCCAAATGGACCAGTGAGGCTCCAGACAGAGCCCTGACCTTTTCAATAACCCATGATATGAATAAGCTGTTACTCACGCCCTAAACCTTATTGGACGTGTAGGTTGGTTGGTTTGTGCAGGGATTGGCATTTGTTCAGTACCTGGGAGGTTTAATACTGGGAGGTGCAGTGTCCCACATGGCATCTGTCTGCTTGGTGGCCCTGCAGATTGCATGCAGTGGGAAGAATTTTGGATGAGAGAAAACTGCTGTGCCAATGGAGAGCAGTCCCAGGGGCTTTTGGAGCCCACCAGCAATTGGTACCCAGCATTGCATTGCCAGGGAAAATTATCCTGGGCTGTCAGGTTGTTCACATCTTGCCAAACCTGGTGGGGTTCCATGCCAATGACCATGGAATGATGGCTGGAGTCTGGGACCCTGCTCTGCCAGTGGTAGTTGTGATGCTAGGCAGAAAACAATGGTTATGGAACCTGCTGGCAGCTGACCTGTTTCTTGTGCTTGCTGTTGGCAGCAGCTCTGCAAAGCCTTACACAGCAAAACTGCAAAAATCCTAAGGCTTCAGCCTAGTGAAAGTTCAAAAAAACCCCCCCTTATTATAATAAAGCCTTTGAGAAGTCCTTCTCAGCCAGAGGTGAGATGTCCCCTATGATCAGAAGTGGGAGTTGAGTGCACTCTGATAAACCGGCTGCCAGAGAATCTTGATAAGCCAGCAGAGAGATTTCTGCCTGATGGGAGGACAGAGGATGTGGCAGTGCCGAAGCTGTGGGGTGTCCAGAGTTCTGCTCTCCTGTGTGGTAAGTGGTGGAGATGGTGGGTTGGTACTGAAACGTTGGTGATTCCTCATTTTGCTCTATATTTATTACCTTGTTCTGCCTTACTGAGTCTGTGTGAAAAGGTTCTTGGCCTAGATGGTGATTGGGTGCTGGAACAGGCTCACCAAGGCAGTGGTTACAGCACCAAGCCTGACAGAGTTCAAGTGTCTGGATGATACTCTCAGGCACATAGTATGACTCTTGGGGATGTTCCTGTGCAGGACCAGAAGTTGGACTTGATGATCCTTGTGGGTCCCTTCCAACTCAGCATTTTCTGTGATTCTGTGTTAATGTTACAACTGGTGGTTTTGGCTCTCCTTGGGTTTACAGCATTTAACAGCTTCCTGGGCAAAGCACTGTCCCATGTGATTTATTTGATGCTATTTAGATGAATTTGTTGAGCCTCCAGCCTGAGTTTGTTTCCTTAAAATTTGGGCTGTATTTTTCCATCTGGCTGCCTAGTGGAGACAGTGTCCAAAATTGGTATTTCAATAAGAGGTTGATGAGGTCTTCTTGGGGCAGCTCCTCCAGTGCAGCTGCTGCTGGACTGAAACGTGGTAATGCCTCTGTCCACCATGAAATACTACATCTTCCATCATATGCTTGACCCAAAATAGTATTTGAACTGGTATGTGATGAACTGCGTCCAGCCCCGTGTCACCTGTATAAAGCAGGAATATCATCTACTCTGTTTATAGAGAGGGAAATAAGTTGTGTGATCTCTTCTCGCTGCCATTTAGGCATCATTAGTGAACTTGGGCACACCTGGGACATGCCCACTGGGGGTGGGACTGGTTGATGGGCACAGGACTCTGAAGCAAGCAGAGCTCAGCAGCAGCTGGTTTGAGCCCTAGCTTCTCCGTGCCAGGTGATGCAGTAAGCTTTGGCTTTGGGGGTGCTTTTCTGATGCAAAGGGCTATCTGATCAGAAAATGGTTATTTTGCTGTAATAATTTGCTGCAAGCAACTTGCACTGATCTCTCCAAGGTAACATTCTATTAATTAATGCACAAACTTACTCCCTCTCCCTGTGTCTAGTTTTCATTCCATGTAAGCTCCGATTACTCAGTAAAAGACATTGGCTTATGAAGTTAAACATCAAAATGCAGAAGCAGAACCCTCAGTGTCTCCACTGTTTGGCAGTGTGTTTGCTCAGGGTTATTTTCATGCCACACACAGTTGAAGTTATTGACGAGAGCAAAATGAACAGTGTTTGTTATTCAGTTCATTTTGGGTTTTCAGTGCTGTCATTGTCTCAGGGAAGTGGTGCCTGAGGATTCGGAGCGGGTGAGGTTAAGAATTTATTACACAGTGTTTGGGGCTGTACAGAAACAGCTCCCAAAGGTCTCACTGAAGGCAAAGGAAAGGATACTGTATGGAGGAGCCAGGAGTGGGTGGATGTGGTGACAAGTCTGCAGTGCCAGGGCACTGACTGCAGGAGCAGTGATGCTGGGGTTTATGCTTTCGGACTCCTGGGCTGCCTCTCACCTCTGAGCTAAGTGTGTAAGTTTCCAGTGGGACCTCTGCTGTGTCCTTTCTGGCTGGATCTGCATCTGAGGTCAGGTTCCTTACACCAAATAGATTTAACTGAGATTATGCATTTGTTAGTCTGGATCTGGATCTGAACTGTTTATTTCTGTAATTTGCCGAACTAAAATCCAAAGTCCCGAGGGTCTTTAGTGTATGCCTTCATTCCAGAGTCTGACTCTGGTTTTCTGGGCTGTTAATGCATTAAGGGTTCTTTAAAACAGTTAATAGTTTGTATTCAATGGTTTAGCTGCACATTTTTAACTACTTAACCACAACAGACTAGAAGCAAATGGAATGGGGTTATTCTTAAAAAGATTTCCGTTATCCTAGTATGTGCTTACCTTGTAAACCCTGGTGTATGTGTTACACTGTCCATCTGTGACAGAACTGTGTGGCTCATCTGCTTTAGAGGTGGGCGCTGCAGCCCACAGATGCATGGGGTGCCTGCTCTGCATCTCCGAAATCTTGGATAGTGCCAAGGCTGTTCTGTCACCCTCCATCTCAAATCCAGGAGAACAAAATTTGGTTTTAGATTAGAGTGGGAAAATGGAAACAAAAGAGACAAGAAAAGCCTGAGTAAAGTGTTCAGAGAAATTGTGTGATAGAAATTACTCAAGTTAAATCAAAGACCTTGGACTGTTTCCATGTGGGAAGGTCAACAGGGCCAGGTGAATTGCTGAGTCTCAGGCAGTTATTTCCCTCTGTTGTCCTCGACAGTCTGTATGAGTCCTGCCATGGAAGTTGATGCAATCAGTATGTGTAAAAACCAGCACAATACCATCCTGCAGAGTAGCGTGGGGAAGCCCAGGAGGTTTGCTAGATAAGGGGGTTCATCTCATTCCTTGCACTGAGGTTTGTGTTAACCACATACTGACAGATGGTGGACCTGGTTCTCCCTGCCTCTAAAACAAACCTCTGTCCTCCCGTTCTGTCTCTTTTCAGAGCTTCCTTCCTCAGAGCACTTGAGTGTGGCTGATGCGACATGGCTTGCCCTCAACGTGGTGTCTGGTGGAGGTGGCTTCTCCAGCTCTCAGCCCATTGGAGTGACCAAAATTGCCAAGTCAGTAATAGCACCACTAGCTGACCAAAACATCTCAGTGTTTATGCTCTCCACCTATCAGACGGACTTCATCCTGGTAAGAGAATGTGAGAGGAAAAGGCAGAGTTACTGCCACCAGATGAGAGTTCAGTTAGGCATTTCTGGGAACAAGTTGTTTGGGGAGTGGCAGAAGAACCAAAATCTGCTTTCCCCAGATCTGTCCCTTGTAGTTAAGCTTTCTGACATCTCAGGAGCTTTTCCCATGGAACGAAGCATTTGTTGTCATGAGTTGTGTGGTGTCTAAGGACAGTGCTGAGCCCACTCTACAGTCGCTCTCTCAGTGGAGGTTCTGGCAGCATTTCCCACCATCACTCAGACACTGGTTTTCTGAAAGTTAGAGGAACACAGTGTCTGCTGTCAGGTTGGCTGGTGATGGACAAGAGGCTTCAAAGTTGTTTTGGGCAGACTGTCTTTCTGTCTCACACACGTGTGTGTGTGTGTGTGTGTGCCTGCGCCTGCACAGAGGGCCCAACCTTATTTCCTTAGGAAACAAGGCTGAAGAACAGGCAGTACTGAGTTCTTGAAGGGATGCTGGAAAAGATGTGAGGCATCCTCCTCTTAGAAATCTCCACGCTCTTCTTAAAAGCACTCTGAGGCTTATACTGGTATTGCCAAGTGTGCTTCTGTAAGACACTTACCCAAAGGGTAATTATCATTATGTACCCTCTGGCTCAAGCAGGAGTCACATGTCCAGTTTTCATGAGAGCATGTGCCCTCCATTACAGTGTCTTGTCACTTCTGGAGCCCACCCATCACCAGATAATCCTTTGTCACCTCCAGGTGCGTGAGCGAGACCTGCCCTTCGTGATGCACACGCTGGCTGCCGAGTTCACCATCCTCAGAGTAGTGAATGGGGAGACAGTGGCTGCTGATGACTTTGGGATAACAAATGGATTTGTCAAACCAAAACTAGGTAAGGACCGGCACAGGCTCAGCTTGCCAGGGGGTTGGTCTCCATGACACATGGGGTGGAAGTCCTGCCTCCTAGCTTCCTCCAACATTTGGGGGGAATGCTTATCCTGTTGTAAGATAATAATCTTACAAGGCTATCCCAGTACAACCAAGGATTCGAGTAGGTTCTTAACTTTCTGAGCAGTGCTGATGAGTTTTGCTGAATTTTGGCCTTTTAATGCTCATTTCACATCTCTAGAGGAGACATACCTTTTGTAGGATAGAAGGTTAAAGTACAATTCATTGCAGTTGCAAAAATAACGTTGTCTGCAGCCCATATTTCCACGCTTCAAGGTTCCAAAGGAAAATGGCTTCTATAAAAGCTTGTTTAAGCTTTGCAGTGATGCACAGAGAACATTGTTGTTCAACTTTTACACTTCAGTGCCAGTGAGGATCAAGGCCACAATGAGCTCAGGACTGTACAAAAGCTTTGGATGTTTGCAGTCTAGAGGAACAAGCATCAAACCAAAGGACACAATTAGGAAAAGGAACAAATACATACGTTTAGCTAGAGACCTCTGTGTAACTTTTTGCCCATAACCAAAAAAAAAGCAGAGATCAGTTTTGATGAAGTGCCACTCAGTTTTGTCACTCAGGAGCTATAAATCATCTGGTTTAAGAAAATGAGCCTTAAACAAAAAAAGTATTAAGGAAGGGCACAGTGAAACGTGTTGATTAGGCACAGGTATGTAGTTTACTGTGTTGCTCTATTTACTAGTTGCTTGCCTAAATACTGGCTGCTTCTTAACCACTGGCTGCAATGTGTTTGCCAAACTGTTGTGTGGCAGCTGGTTTTTCATTTTTCCAGATATTATCATCCCCAGAAATGAGGGAAAAGAGGACAGACTGCCAACAGCCACAGCTGGATAAATGCCTTCCATAGCCTTGCCTTTTAAATGGTGGAAGCCTGAATTTTTTTCCACTCTTCAGTTTGTCTTGGCACCTCCTTTAGCTTGGCCCTCATCTCATGTGGCTACACCTGATGGCGTGAAAGCCCTTAGGGGTAGAGAGCTGGGCAGGGTACTCAGGGTGATCCCACACTGTACCCCAGGGAGAGCACCATAAGAGCAGGTTGTCCACAGGTCCCTCAGTCCCTGTCTGAGAGCCAGCATGTCTTCAGCCAGCAGATACCTTCAGCTTTCTCTGCGGCTGCTGCCAGTGCTTGGATAATACGACTGCTGGGAGAGGAACCTGCTGCAGATGTGGCTTCACAGTTGTGTGTGTCTGTGTGTCTCTTCCAGTTCAGAGGCCTGTCATTCATCCCCTTTCCAGTCCGAGTAATATGTTCTGCGTCACCAGCCTGGATCCAGATACCCTTCCTACTGTTGCTACACTCCTGATGGATGTCATGTTTTACTCCAATGGGTAGGTCACTCAGGGAAATGAGCTTCCAGCCTGGTGTCTGGAGGTGCATATTCCCATTGCTCCTGTGGGATGCCCAGAGATCTGCTGTGGACTTGGGCTGCTCCAGTGCTCTGGACTGGGGGAGGGAGGTTTCACAGACTCAGGAGGGTTGTCCTGAGAGGTGGAAGCCCAACAGGCTTGCAGGTGCCCAAAGTGGGGTACTGGTTTTGGAAAGCTGAGCCTTCCAGAGTGAAGCTAAGGACAGCCATGTGGTCAATGTGCTGCATATCTGTACAGCTGGCTGGGCTGCTGCCCCTTGGTGCCTGTGACTCCTGGCCCACAGCCTCATGCGAGGGGACCTTGGGGCAGGGATGGGAGAGGTTTGTCAAATGTGGAGATTGCCCTTTTCCCTCCTGCAAAATAAAAAAATTAAAAGCGGTATGGAGTGACAGGACTCTGTGTCACTTCCCTAGGTCAGTGTATGAACATTTCTGGTTTCACAGCCTTCTTGTGTTCTTCTAGCCATAGTTAATGTTCTTCTCCTCTGTTTCTTCAGAGTAAAAGACTCGGTGGTGGGCAATGAAGACTCGGGACATATTCGGTTTTTTTCCTTTTCTCTCATCGAGGGTTATATCTCCTTGGTCATGGATGTGCAGACACAGCAGAGGTGAGCATTAGTCTTAGGGTAACCTGGACCTCTAAAAAAGCACCTGAAATGTTTTCAAAGGAGCAGGAAGCAACTTAGACTCCTTCACGTTAATTATTGGGACTTTCATTGCATTAGTGTCATGGGTCTGTACACCCTCTCACTTTCCTGAGTGAAATCTGGCATGTGAGTTCCAGTGTCTGAATTTTGGGCTTGTCTGTCCAAACCCTCAGTGAAATCACAAGTCAGTGTGATGTAGGGTTGTCTCACTTTCCAAAGAGGAACACTGGAGTGGTTTTGGCATTTTTATTGTATTGTTCGTTAGCTGTGCTTTTAAGAGCAAAACCCAAAAAGAAAATCTTGTGTAGCTGTTTGAAGTTTCACTGATGAAGGCTGAAATCAGGAAGGGGATGTCAGTGACGCTGTCCTCCTGCTTTTCTTTGACACGTGGCTGGCCTTGGTTCGAAATTTTGTTATGATGATTATGTTCTGAGTTATCCCTGTGCAGTGGGAGCCCATGACTCGTTTGTCTGATAAGCAGGAAGTTACCTGGGGAGCAAATAAGTCTTAAAAAAAGCAAAAAAAGTTACCTCTCTGTGTGTTTGTGCTTCTGCAGCTGCGCAGCACAGAAGGCTCTGAGATCTGGAGGCTGGAGAGGATGCTGTACTGAGACTCAGTGCTTAGATCTGCTTTTATGACACTGTGTAGTGTTTGGGTTTGATTCTTGGGGGCAAGTCTCCTGCCCCAGGGACTTGTTTTTCAAACTATTAATTGCCCTCTTGAAAGTTTCTTTGATCTTATTGGAGTAAACCTTTGCCTTCCTTCAAGACTGGCCAGAGGGTTAGAGCTCCAGCCCGGGGCGTGGGAAACCTGGGAGACCAATTCTTCTCCATTACAGATTGCCTGGCTGACCTTGGGCAAGTCTCTTACCCACTGGTCCCCTTTCCCCTGCTAAGAAATAAGGATCTCTGCAGAGATACCAGGGACCTCCTGGGGATAGTATGGAAGGAAGCACTGATGGTGCTCAAACACAACAGCAGTGGTCAACATTTACATTCCTGAGAGCAGGTATGGAAACATATTCCATCCCTAGGTGTGTCTAAATGCAGCTCAAATGAAACCTGCACATTCTCAATGTTTGTAAAGCTGGGGCACAGCCTGTTTCTTAGAAATCTTTTCCTGTGCCTCTCTCACAAAGGATGCTGACTTACCATAGGACACCTGGAGGGGCAGGCAGGTGCATCTACCCCCCTTGCCTTGAGTTTTCCCAGTTTGCCCAAGCTGCTGCCTTGCTGCTGTTGACTCCAAATGTTGCAGGGATGCAGGAAGAGAAGATCCCCCCCAGGCAGAATCTGACACACTGCTGTGTTTTAATTGCCATGTTTGGTGTTCCTTTGCTTTTACAGATTTCCTAATAATTTGTTGTTTACAAGTGCTTCTGGCGAGCTGTGGAAGATGGTGCGGATTGGTGGGCAGCCCCTTGGCTTCGGTAGGTGACATTTGGGCATCAGTTGGTGTACAGGCAGTCAGTCGCCTCAGGGCCTGCAAGGAATATGGAAAAATCCATCTGAGGATGAGGGGTTTTGAGAGTCAGCAGCTTAACATGACTTTGTGAGCTGAGATTTTCAGACAGGAGAAGTCTGACTCCTACCTATTAAGCCAGACTTCTAAATGTACTCCTGAAAGTGCTGCATGCTTGACAGCTACAGCTAAATTGCATTCATCTGCTGGACTTTGGAGGTGGCTACTGCTGGGGGTCTGATTAAAGAGAAAAACTGGACAAAAGGTGTCATTGAAATGCATTGTAGATTACTGAAATCAGTGGTCCAAAGGCACAGTCATACTCCAGTGCAGAGATCACAGAATCACAGAATCAGCCGGGTTGGAAACCCGGCTCTGAGATCATCCAGTCCAGCCCTTGATCCACTACCACTGTGGTTACTAGACCATGGCACTCAGTGCCACATCCATTTTCATCTTAAAAACCTGCAGGGACAGAGAATCCACCACCTCCCTGGGCAGCCCATTCCAATGCCTGATTACCCTTTCTGTAAAGAATTTCTTCCTAATATCCAACGTCTACCTCCCCTGGCACAGCTGAAGACTGAGCCCTCTTGTCTTACTGAGAGCTGCCTGGGAGAAGAGACCAACCCCACCTGGCTACAACCTCTTGTCAGGGAGTTGTTGAGAGTGATGAGGTCTCTCCCCTGAGCCTCCTTTTTTTCAGGCTCAACAACCCCAGTTCCCTCAGCCTCTCCTGATAGGACTTGTGCTCGAGTCCCTTCACCAGCCTGGTTGCTCTTCTCTGGACCTGCTCCAGCACCTTCATGTCCTTCCTGAACTGAGGGGCCCAGATCAGGTTATTCTCTGACTTCAGTAGATTTAGTATAGATTTATAGCTGTCCAAGTGGGAGTCCTGTTTTCAGATGTTTCACATTCAGTGCTGCATGTTTTCTCTATTCAAAAAAATATTGGTCCTAAGTAACACAGAGCAAGTGCTTCATGCCTGGAGGCATGTTCTTCTTATTTCTGTGTCCCCTGAAATTTCAAGGCTCTGATCTGAATACCGCAACAAAGGCCTGATCTTCAGGAAACACAGGGGATCCTTCCCATGGGCTCTGAACCAGTTACAAAGTGCAAGCTCCAAAAAATTTCTGAAAAATGTTTGGCCAATTTTTGTTTTTAATTGCAACTTCTACACCAGACAACCAAAAGTAGCAAAAAGGAAATCTTCACATACCTTCTCTTTAAGCATCTTAGAGGCAAAATATGTAGATATGTCACTGATGGCACATCAGGACAATGACCAGGCCCCTACATATGTGATGTTTAAATATGTAAACTTAAAATCAAGTTGAAATGTTGAATTCAGATCGGTGAAACTCAAGGTTTCATCTGAAAACAATGTATCGTTTTATCTGCAACGAACAACACAGATGAACAATTTAAATTCCATGTAAAGCCCAGAAAGCCAACCAAATAGCCCAAACAGCCAACCAGATCCTGGGCTGCATCCAAAGGAGTGGGGCCAGCAGGTCAAAGGAGGTGATTTTTCTGCTTTACTCTGCTCTTGTAAGACCCCACTTGGAGCACTGTGTACAGATCTTGTGGAGCTGTTGGAGCAAGTCCAGAGGGGGCCACAAAGTTGATAAGGGAACTGAAGCACCTCTCTCCTATGAAGACAGGCTGAGAAAGCTGGGGCTTCTGAGCCTGGAGAACAGAAGATTGTGTGGAGACCTCACATCACCTGCCAGTATCTGAAGGGACCTACAGGGAAGCCAGGTAGGGACCCTTCATCAGGAACTGCAGTGACAGGACAAGGATTAATGGGTTCAAACTGAAAGAGGGGAAATTTAGGTTAGATATTAGGGAAAAATTATTCCCTGTGAGGGTGGTGAGACACTGGCACAAGTTGCCCAGGGAGGTTGTGGATGCCCCATCCCTGGCAATGTTCAAAGTCAGGTTGGATAAGGCCTTGAGCAACCTGGTCTAGTGGGAGGTGTCCCTGGCCATGACAGAGGGGTTGGGGCTCGATGATCTTTAAGGTCCATTCCAACCCCTTAACATTCTGTGACGATTCTGTGATGAAATTGGCGTGAAATCCTGTCTTAGGGGCTCTGGTGGGCTGCAGCCTAGGAACCGTCTCCAGGCTGACGGGTGGGTCAGCATCTCCTCTCTCAAAGGTGCCGGGCAAAGTGTTTGATAGCACACAAAAATGGAGGTAAAGGGCATATGAGGCTGGTTTTGGTACTTCCTTCCTGAACATCATTCATTTCTTTGGACCTCTGAAAATAGTTTCAGTTCTAATGTTTTGTGCCTTTTGAGATCTGCATTTCTCTGTAGCAAAAAGAAGGTAATAAAATTAAATGTGCCAAAAAAAGCCTAATTCTGTGAGAAAGAACACATTTTATTGCAGAGGGTCCTTCTGGTTGGAGTTTGTAAAGACAAACTACTCCCTGTCTCCCTGTGTAGCCGTGGAGTTGGTGAGCCCTGGGAGTTCTGCAAGCCCCTCCAGACAAAGGTTGATTTTTTTGTCTCCCCACAGATGAATGTGGAATTGTTGCTCAGATTTCTGAGCCTTTGGCTGCAGCCGACATCCCAGCCTACTACATCAGTACTTTTAAGTTTGATCATGCATTGGTGAGTATGAAGACAGCTTTTTTGCAATAGGGCAGATCTTTTCCCTGGGAGAAAACTCATGGTGAGAATGTAATTTCCATCTGGATAGCTTGTTGGAGTGCCTTTGCTTCGATATAGCCCAGCAGACACCTCTCCAGCCTCCTTCTGGCTGTCACTGCCCTCTGTCAGAGGCTGCTGAACCAAGCCCAGCCCTACCCAAAGGCAAAGCTATGTTAGTGAGTGTTGTTCTGGAAAAAGGCTGCTCCCAGTTCTTAAAGACTTGCAGCAAGGGAGACTTCACAGCCTCCTCGAGCAGTCTTGTTAACTGCATCCCTGTCTTTTATTAGAAAGAGCCACAAAACCTCTCCCATTTTGCTACAGACATAGTTGCAGGCTCCAGACTCTGAGGATGGTGCTGTCACGACCCACCCTTCAGGGGAAGGTGCTTCTTTAGGTGCGTCCTTCCACTTAAGGGTGGGCCATCCCAGGTGCCTCTGTGTGTGGGGAACATTTTGGAGGGTCTCCCAGTAGCAGACCCCTGCCTTCATCTCTTGGTGCCTGCATGGCCCTAACCTTTGTGTTTCGAAACCCATTTCTTAGCTCTGCTGCCTTTGCATCTTCCTCCTCATCGTGCAGACCTTTGATAAAAGAGCAATAATTGCCAGCACAGCAAGGGAAAGCAATTTTGAAGCAAATAAATTTGTTGCCATGTTTGTTCTCATGAGTGCCCATAAACAGTTACAGTGCAATCATCAACATGAGGGTCTTGCCATCCTTGCAGAGTTCTGTTTTATACTGATGGATATTTTACTTTTTAGGCCTACCTTTGCTCTTCCTTTGGCTTTATAGGACCCCCTCAAAAAGGAGGAATTTCCCTGGAAAGGGAAAATTGCTGTGCCTGTAGCCAGAAGCAGAATTACATTGTCTTGGAGCCCATTTCCCTGGTCCTGAGGAAGAGAGTCAGTAGCCCATGTGCTAACAAAGCTACAAAACTCAGCTGCGTTGTGCTATTCAGTTGTGGTTTTTGTTTTTTTTTTTAAATGTGCCCTTTTTTGCATTATACTTCTTCTTTCATCACTGCAAATTCACTGCTTAGGCTCTTCCTTTGACCTGTGAAAGCTCCAGTGAGTTCAAAGAAGGTTTTGAGGGGGGTGGGGGAGAGCTTTAATTTCACGATTGGTATGAACCATTAGCAGATGATAGGTCATGTGTGTAAAGAGTAAAAGTAAATATTATTTCAGATAGCAAAGGTCAAAGTGTTGTATATGTTTGTCTTATTTTCTTGAATTTTAACTGTGCTGATAAGTTAATGAAACACCATTTAACAATCAATACTGTTAGCTTTGCCTCACATTCCTGCCATTGTGTGGCCTCAAGTGCCCACTTTCTGTGCAGAGCACAAGGTGTAGAGTGCTTCTAGGTGTCAAGCCATGTCTGGAGAGCTCAGCCCTGTCAGCTGAAAACTTGTGCCATACAGTTGTGATGACTCTGCAGGCAGCTCCACCCCGTTGGAGAATTTCATCCTGTTGCCGCCAGCCCCACAGGAGGGGCTGATCTTGCCTCCCATCAGCTGGCAGGGCATTCTGGGGCCATGCACTGAGGTCTGCAGATCTTCCTTACTCAAAGCAGTATTTAAGTGTTTTTCTTTGCTACTTGACGTTTTTTTTCTCTATGATTTGAAAGCCTTTTCACCTGGACAGTGCTTTTCTAGCTGTCAAACCCCTCTATCCTTTGGAAGGTGCATTTCAAGCCCTCCTCTGCCTGACTTTGCTCTGGGCACACTGGCTGGGTTTAGTGCATTTTGGTTCTAGGGTGTTTGTGTTGGCCGAGACCCTGACCTAGATTTTGTCATGTTTTCCCTAACTTTGCTACACAGATACCATGACTTCTAGTGACATTTCTAACAAGGTCTAAGTACATCTTGAACCCTTTGTCTAAATCCTCCCTATCTTTATTTGAGGTACTGACCTGTTGTCAACAATTTGGAGCACTTTATAAAAGCTTGTTGTTCCCTTTGTTCTGGGTTTTTTTTCCCTACTCTGCATCTTAAGGTGGTTTTTGTTGCTGGGGCGTTAATACTGAGGTCTTCCTGCGATGCTATCACTGTACATGTTTGCCCTGGAAATCAGGACTTATGCTTGAGAGGAAATCAAGAGAGACAGTGTTGGAGATAGGAACCTCCAGGCCTGTGGCCTGTCCCCTGGGTGATGAAAGGTCTGGCAGGTGAGAGCCACAGTTTCCAGCTCCCTCTAGAGAGAGCAAGGGAGAAGAGTCCCCTTTCCATGTGCTCTGCTCTTGGCTGCCTCATGCTCACAGATGTCTTGCTCTCCTTCACCAGCATTTTCCTTCTGAAGAGGCTGAAGCTGTGTCTGGGATGTAGTTTGGACCTTCACTTCTCCCTTGATGGCTGGTGCTTTGATCTGTGCACTGCCTGAGAAGTGAACACAGTGCACCAGCTGTCCTGGGACAGGGATCATTTCCAAGGGCGGGGAGAGGTAGAACTCCTCCTCTGTTACCAAAAACAGGATGGGTCCTGCAAAGGTCCCATCTGTCCTGGAGAAAATCCGGCCCAAAGCTTTGTGGGGTGATTGATACCATTTCCATGCCCTTAGAGGAGTCAGGCATTTTTCGGGGAGTGAAGAACCAGCCCAGTGTGTTTCAGGCAGTAGATGGGTCTGTGCAGGTCAAAGTCAGTTGACCAGAACTGGCCAGTGCTGCTTTCTCCTGCTTCTGTCCACTGCTAACAGAGCATACGGAGAAAGCTGTACTGCTGAGCATCACTGGGGCTGACGGGGAGAGTGTGGTTTGAAAAATTGACTCCTATGCCTTTTCTCATTATCTTCTGGAGAGGCAAGGAGTCAAACAGCTTCTTCCACTGCAGTGTTCAGTGTACTGGGAAAAGTTATGCAAGGGAAGTAATGGAAAGTCCTATTCCCAGTGGCTGAAGGCATGCTGGGGTTTTCTTCCTAACCCAGAAGAGTTCTCTGTATGCTTGTTTTAAGATTATTTTCTTCTTTTCCAAGATGGCTTTTGTTCACACATCATCAGAATTATTCCATCTTCCCATTGGAAAATTAAACATTTTTCTTGTTATTTCTCATGAGTTTTTTCCTCAGTTTTGTTAAAAGCCTTGATGAAAGTCACAGTCCAGTTGTATTCCTACTGTCTGAGCTCTGGAAAGTGTCAGTGAATCCAGGTATTGTGCTCCAGGCCTCCTCCTCTTGCAGAGGAGACAGTCCTTCTTTAACTTACTTAACGTGAATTATTTTGGCTTCTTGCAGCAGCTCACACACAGTTTGTTTTTCCTTCTGTCCTCTTTCCACTTTCCAAGAGCTGCCTGTTCCCTGAGCAGTGTCTTGGAGTTTTATGTAATGGTCTGATGCCCCTTTTGTGTCTGATGTGACTTTACTTGTGATGTTCTTTTCTACTGATGACAGTTGTTCTGAGATCTTTTGCATCTTCTGTTACTAGAGATTTTTCTTGCAGTAAGTGTGAAAAGATAGCCACTAATAATTTTGTATATGGATTTCTGTGGTTAAGTCTCCTCACGAGACTGGATAAGAAAGCGTAGATGCTGCACCACACCATCTGGGAACCCTACCACAAGCAGACTAGTGGTTCTCTTCTTTGTCACCCAGCATGGTCTTCCCAGCTTATTGGTCTCAAACCTGTAGGATGCCCCTGAAAACCCCATGGAGCCCCAAGGCAGGCCCATAAATCAATCAGCACAGGCACCTTGCATGAGCGAGCTCCTGGTGTACAAGGCCTTCACCAACAAAAGGAAGGGAAAGGAGGGGAGAGGAAGAGGAGAGAGAAGAGAAAGAGAAACCTCAAAATAGTGGCCCTGCCATGAGTACCCACCACATGACAGCAAACCAGCCGGCTCTCACTTAGCAAGGGGATAACTTAACTCCAGGGATACCATGGGCTAATGGGTGTGTCCTTGCGCATGGAGTCTTTTCTCAGTGGAGTTCAGGTGTCCAACAGCAAAGTACCTGCCTCCTTGGGACTCGTCTGGCTTTGTCTCCTGCCTCTTTTCCATGTCATCAAATTTGCTGGAGGTCATGACCTTTCTTTTTGTTTTCTTGCAGGTACCTGAAGAAAATATAAATGGTGTGGTCAATGCACTCCAAGTCAGTCAAGCTGAAAAGCATTAGAAATGTTCTGAGCTGGTTCCAGATGCTTTTTATTATTTTTTTTTTCTCACAGTATTTCTTGAAAAATCTGATTACAAAGAGTGACATGAAAAAAGACTGTGGAAAGCTGAGCAGAAACAGCTCCAATAAGCCTTTGTTTTAATTATTATTATTATTGTTATTTTATTAAATTTACAAATGAGGGGAAGGAGGAAAGGGAAAGGAGGAAAGGGAGTTCAGATGGTTTCCTGATGTTCAGCTCCAAGGTGTACTCTGCCTGTGTTCTCAGAGTGAAGGAGCTGCCCAGGGTCCCTGTCTCTCCCCACGGAAGTACTGCTGAAAGCAGCAGGGCAGGCCAAGAGCACATGAACGGGCTGTTGGCTCAGAGAGCCCTGAAAACCAGAAACAAAATGCAATGTGGAATTAAACAGAAAAGACATCACACAGTGCTGGCTTGTCTCCTCGCATCAGACTTTCTGAGGACTGTCTATCACTACCTGTGTCGAGGTAGGATGGGCATTGGGTTCTGTTTTCCCTGACCGAACTGCTTAGTGTTGGAAAAGGGGAAAATATCCAGTTGTTTGACTTTTCCTCTTTTCCCTTCTCCCTGCAGTCAATGCCTGGCTGCTCTGAGAAAGCCTGGCTGGGGGGAGAGCTGCTCTGATCAGCTTCTGGCAAGTGGTGTCACCCAGACTTCTGTCTGCATTGAAGCTTGGCTGATTTTGCCCAGTTTCTCCCAGTCACCTTCTCACTGCTCCCAGCATCCTCCTGCTGGGAGGATGTCTCCTGTCTCCTGCTCCCAGGTAGCTGCTGTCCTCTTGCCCCATATCAGAGCCATCCCCCAGCCCTCATGCCCCAGGGCCAGCAAGAGGAGAGAGGTGTCTTTTCTCCTGTCTCCTCAGGTTTTTTCCCATCCACTCTGTACCAGGGGGATGCAGAAGATTGCATGGGCTCCCTGGAAATCTGTTCTTGCACATCACAGGCCACCTTGGCCAAGAGCCACAGCAGGTTGTACCCACTGGGGCCAGAAAGGTGCCCAAACCCCTTCATCTCCCAGGTGGAAATTGCTGCTGGCTGGGGTCTTAATCCATGGGGTTTTCCACTGGATTCAGCGTGCAGCCCTTTGAAAGTAGAATGGTGCTGAAAATGCCTAAAGTCTGAAGTGTTTCCATCTGATCCTGTCACAGGAAGGTGATGGGGGCTTTTGCTGCTCCAGGGCAGCAGGAGTGTGTTTGCTCCTGGCTTGTACCTCAGGAGGGTACATTAGGCCTGGGGTGCCACCTGGCTCTGAGTTGTGCCCTTGGCTGCTCCCAGCACTGTGGAGGACAGTGAGGACCAGTGCCAGGAGAGCAGATGTTACTCAAGACATGGATGCCAGCAGTCTGCCCTGTGTGTGACCGTGCAGCAAGGAGTGGTAAAAGGAGAAACTGTCTGCAGAGGAACCTTCTTTTGTGGTTAGCAGTCCCAGTATATCTTGCATTTCTCAACTTCTTCCACTTCATTCTTGACATAAAGAATTTGCAGATTTTGCCTTTTTCTGGAGGGCTTTCCAGCCATGCTTCAGAGACAGCCTCTTGCAGCATTTTCCTGAGGCTGTCACAGTGTGAGCCAGGGTTTTGCATTGATCTGGGGGCAGTAAGCAAGTACCTGAGATGGTGCCACGGACATGGCTTTTACTGTTGTGTAGGACACAGGCTCACAGCTTGCTGATTAGTTGTCCATTCACAGTTCTGGAGGCCTGAACGTAACAGTTATGGTTTCTGATGCTGCTGGACCTAGGCAGTTTTGAATCTGATTTTTCATCAGTGGGATGTTATGTGGCAGCTAGACAAGGAATCAGAGCATCCTTGGGAAAACCTGTGGGTCACTCTCCTTGGTTGGCTATACCTGAGCTAAAGCATCCCTGCTGAGAAACATGAAGGCACATGTTCAGTGCTTTACCAAACAGGGTGCTTTGCTGTTCCTTTACATGGGTTTTCAGAATTGCCCCATGATATGTTATATTCACTGCAGATTTCTGGAGCAAAGGTTGATCACAGATATGGCACTGAGCCTCTCTGGATGTTTGTTTGGAAAGATGCTCCAGTCTCCTGCCACAAGGATGCAGGCACAGGTGCAGTGCAGTGTTCAAAGCACTCGGGGTGTTTGCTGTGACTGCCCTGGGCACAGAGCTGGGCTGGGGCAGGCGGCAGCTTTTCATCACGTGCATTGTCAGAAGGTTCCTCCTTGGGATGGCAGACTGGGGAGGAGATGGGACTGCACAGGAGGTTTTTTTTAGTTGATGTACAGCTACTGAGTTGCCAGTCAGGCTTTCTGGTCACCTGAGTTGAGCCTGAGTTTTCCCTGTGTGCGTGGATGGTGCCACTGTGATAGGGTCACTGGGATGGAGTAATCTTTTTGCTCTGGGGTTTTGGCAGCCTTTGGAAAGTGGCAGTTTCACTGTCAGAGCCCTGTGCAGTGCTCTTTGTGTGCCAGTGCTGCTTCCAAAGGACTGTGACATGGATGGGAGGAATTACTTGAAACGAGCAACAACTTTACTGAGCCTTAAGTGAAAGCAAGAAAAATTAGTTTTAATTTTCTTTTTCTAACATTTCACTCAGGCAGTTGGAGGCTGATTTCTTTAATTCAAATTTTTCACTTTTTTCCCCAAGGGTGCCAACCTTAAATTTGTGAAATCTGAAGAAGTCTTTGTGGTGTTTCAAACCTTCCCAAAACAGGTTGATAACTCAGCATGGGAAAGTTGGCCTGAAAAATGTCACTGAGGGACTCTCTGGCTCCACCATCTTCTGGCACCATCCTTGGCTTCACCTTTTTATTTCCTTTTCTTATTTTTCCTGACATCCAAGAAGATTGTTTTAGATTACTTGGGGTGGTGGATGCTTTTTTGTTCCCTGTGTATTTTTGCTGGTGGGAACAGAGATAGTCCAAATGTGGTCAGAATTGGTGGAACCTTGTCCCTGTGCCCTGGGAAGGGCAGGCCAGCCTGTAGTCAGGATTGGTGCAAGCTTGCACAGCACTGGATAAGGCAGGAAGGGGCCTGTAGGGGCTTTGTTAAATAATTTCATAGTAATAATACCACTACAATAATAACACCACAGTGTTTACTGAGCCCAAAGTAGGCACTCTTAAAGCTGCTCCACAGTTCCCACTCTCCTGGCACCCAGTCTTTGAGGTGAGGAAAAATGGAAGTATTTGTTTGTAAATGCCTTATGATAATACATGTGAGCATCCCTGGCATGGTGCTGTTCAACACTGTGGATAAAGGAGAAACGTGTCTCAGCTGGGACACCCTTCATCAGGGTGCCTGCGTGACCCATCAGCCCCCCATGCTGCCCCCCAGCATCCCTGCTCAGCTCTCTGCAGAGTTCTACCTGTCTGCAGCTGCTGCTGATCACCTCAATGCCCTCCCTATGCCCTCTTGTTTCACAAAAATTCTCCAAACAGCAAAATGCAAAAGTTTTTCCAGCCCTGCAGGGAAGGGTGGTCAAAGGGGGGAAAGCACAGCTTTCCCCCAATCTCTGTCTTTCTCCAAGGCCTTTGTTTTCTTAGGAATCTCAGCTTTTCCAAGTTGAGTGTGTTACTATGTAGGGTAATGTATATTAATGTATAATGTTTCTATAGAAATCCTTAGTGTGTCTCTGTTGCACACATATAAATACCTGTGTTTGTATCTGTAGGGCTGTATATAATGTGGACACTCAAGCAATATAGTTTCATATGTATCTACAGTGTATGTGTGTATACCCGGTGTGTGTATGTAGTAAGTGATGTATGCACACATTTATTCACCGTATATTTTTAATTCAAGTGTAATGGGCAATACGAATATTAGTTCTGCTCTCAGGATTTCTCTACATGTGTTTTGTGCAGAGCAGCAGTGGAGCTGACCCAGAGCAAAGCTTGCTGTGAGCAGCATCTGATTTTCCTTCCTGCTTCAGAAACTTCCTGTTCCTCTCCATTTTGGTGCCTCAAACACAGGGACTGTAGGAAAGTTACTCCTTTTTCTTTCTGTGCTTTATTTGCTACCCTGAATTACCCCAGCCCGTCAGTAGGGCTGGTTCATTTGCACAGTGCCCCCCCAGACCCTGGGGTTTTCAGTGGGGCTTCCAGCTCCTGCAAGCACTGAGCAGGTGCTGGTGCCTCCCGCCTTCCCCTGGCCGAGATGGGAGCTCAGCCCGGGCCTTCTGCATCCCAGGCTTTGGAGTGACCTGGGTTAGGCACCAGCATTTGAGCCAGTTCCCAGCATCTCTGCAGGAACTGTGGGCAGGTGGAGGTTTCCTGGTGGATGTGTCTGCCAAGTGCTCAGCAGGCAGAAGGCAGCCCAAGGCTAGTGTAGGGCTCTGGCATTTGTTGAGGAGTTCACATTTGTTGGGCTGTGAGGGACTGAAATCAGTGGGTTATTTTTAAATAGATGGAAATGTTGGAGGGTCTTTTCTTGTTGAAAGCAGGAGAGGCTGCTTGAACCCAGTCATTGGAAGTGCATGGTCTTTGCATCATTGGAGATTTCTGCTGACCAGGAGTGCTGTGAGGGTCCGGGGGGGGGAAATTCTAACCCGAAACATCCTCTGTTTTGCTATTTCAGTTACACTTCATGGAAGGTAGTGCAGGTACTGTCTTGCCACTGACCTTTCAGCACTCTGAGGTTGCACAAATGCATCCTTGCATAGGTTTGTGCATCCTTCCTTTTCTTTCCAGGCATTGAAGTTGGTTTGGAGTTTCCGCAATGCTGTGCTTTAGGTGGCATCTATCTGCCTGTTGCATGGGGAAGCCTTAGTGGAAATGTTTGGGTTTGCTGGTGCACAGAGATGGTGGCACCTGCAGTGGGTGACATTAGTATTAAGACTCACTTAACAGCAATGCCATTTATAAAGCACATTCATCATAGAAATATTATGCTTCCAAATGTATTTTAAACTCCAAGCTTGGTGTTAAAATTCCCAGGTAGGGAATCAGATGAATCATTCTTCATCTTTGATGAAAAGCTTGGGGGTGTCAGGCTCTGCTGTGGGCTAGCACATGACACTGAGCAGGGATTTACCCTTTAAGACATGCCATGCAAAGTGTGTGTGGGAACTTGTAGGACTGACACTTGAAGAAAAATGTTACTGGGAGGTCATGATTGCTTTATCCAAGCAAAGCATGCAACAGAAGTGTTGGATTTTTCTGAAGCACTGTGAGGGAAACAAGGCAGTGCAGCACAGGGAAGTGTGTGGCAGAGGAGGTCACTCAGCCTCCAGCGTAGATCCCTGAGATTTCCTGGTGTTTCCCAGCTGTTTCCCAGTTCTGGTGCTCTTGATGCTCTCAGCAGTGTGCAGACCCTGAGAGAGGCAAGCTCTGCTCAGAGCTGGCACTGCCACGTGTGATGCAGTTGCAGGATTCGCTGTCCCCCAGACGTGAGCTCCCAACACATTCCCCCACCGGCTGACCTGTCCAGGCACCTGTTGTCTCACAGTGTGTCCATGGGATGAAGGTTTAACAGTGTGACTGACATCCCACGAAGGTTGGGAAGCTATTTAGGATATTAAAGCCCGAATCACATGTGCTTAATCAGAGCCTGGCTCTGAGAGCAGCTGTTTCCTGTCTTTTCTCAGCTCTGTTGTACAAAGCTTAAATTTTCTTCTGGTACAAAGGGGGCCCCTCCTTGGTGTGAGGTGATGTTGCTGTCACTGCCCCACTGCAGAAGGGCCAGGGCTTCAGGCCTTGCTGTCCTGCAGCAGCTGTGGGGTCAGCGCAGGCTCCTCTGTTCTGGAGGGCTTCTGGGTCTGACTTGGCAATGTCCCACACACCCATGCTGTGGCAGTGGAGGTCCTTGTTAGTGACAGGCATGGGAAGGCCAGGGGAAAAGCAGGAATAGCTAGAGTGCCAGGTGATGCAAAGGAATCAGTTTGTTCCTTTTTAGTTGTGCACATATTGAATGCATTGCAGTTTTGCTTAATGTTGTGAACACACAAGCATTTTCATTCTTTTTCTTCCTTTGACTCAAACAGATCTCCCCTCCCTGCCCAGCCTCCACCCTCATGCCCAGTATCCCAGGGGATGCATTTGCCCCAGTCCCACCATCCCAGCAAGGATGGGTGGCACAACTCCTCCCAAACCCCGAGCAGTCAAAAAAATCATCTGATGCTCAGTCTCGCTGTGTGGGGAAAGCCCCCAAGAATGTGTTTTGATCTAACTGGTGTACAGGGGTTATAGGTGTATAGGCCACACTGTGGCCTATAGGGGTTAGACCCATCCTTATGGTTTTCCTCATCCAGGTACCCCCACACAGTGTTGGAGAGCAGGGGCATGCAAACTCTGCTTTAGAGGTCGGTGGCTTGAGTCACAGTGACTTCATCGGCACAGTCAGCACTCACTGAGGACAAACACTCTTGTCTTAGCACTGGGAAATTGATATTTTCTGATAATGGCAAGGGAGAAATGCTTTGTTCGACCCCAGGCTGAACGTCACTGCGTTCTCCCAAGATGTCCCCTAGCAGTGATGGACAAGAAGTCATTTTCTGATGAGGATTTCTTCTCTCTCTGTTACTGTAACTGTTGTGGACATCTCTGATAAGCAGCTTAAGGCATCTCACTTACCTGTTCCAATCCTGCCAGCAAACGTAGGATTGGATTAAACTTTTATTACCTGCGGGAGAGTAAAACCCAGTAATCCTTTGCCAAATAGCATTTACATGTTATAGTGTGTGCTGGGTTGTGTTTATATTGGCTGAAATTTGCAGACCTACCTTCAGATTTCCATGCCTTCTCCCCATCTTATCTGCCTGTCTGTGTGTATACTGTCAGGGGCCAGCAATATCCCTCAGGCATCCTGGCAGCACGAAGCCACTACAGAAACACTCTGTGCAGTTCTCAGCAAGGGCTGTAGGACCTTCTCAGGGCACCTGGGAGGGAAACACTCAACTGTGAAGATAATCTTGATTTACTCTGCTGCCCTCGGCTTCCTTTATTTAATCCTCATGAAGCACAGCTGGGTGAACTACCAGCTCCAGTTAGCTCAGGTGAAGGAAAGGACAGGGTTCTGCAGCAGGCTATGTGGGCAGGAGGCTGATCAGCAAATCTGGTGAGCACAGAGCAATGAACAGCCCCTTTTCTATGCAGGGGGAACTGGATGAAATGGGTATCAATGTACATGCATTTTAGGGTATTAATTTTAGGGTTCTGTGCCTCTTTGGAACATCCCTAAGCCAAAATAGTCTGTTGGTCTCTCTAGACAACACCAGCCATTTTTCTTCAGGTTCAGAGCCTGGGACTGAATGTTCCCATGTAATTGCAGATTACATGGAATAGCTTCTCCCTGCTCCCTAATTCTCTGGCAGTGATGGCCTGTGTTCCTGCCTACCCCTGGGTTTGGGGAAGGCCCAGCCACAAGGGAACACAAACCCCAGGCATCTTCTCCCAGCTGAGAGCACCTAAGTTTTGCAGCCAAGGTGCAGGGAGCAGCAGAGGGATGACAGCTACACACCTCCTGACCTGCCTGCAGAGCTCCAGAGTGGCCATGGCCAGCCCAGCTCGGCACCATAGCAGCTGTGCAGAGCAAGGGGGTTTGCAAAACAAGCTACTTAATGTCCTGGGCTCCCTTGAGGTTTTGTTTTCATCTGTTTTTAGCTTTCTGCAGAATTCTATAAATGAAGTGTGGGTGGATTTTTGGAGCAGAGACAGACAGAGATGCCCAACAGGCATCTGGCAGGATTGAAATGTTGAAATATGTTTGAGAGTGGAGCGGGAGCATGTTGCTCTCCTCTGTCCAGCTCTGTCCTCTGCCTGTACCATAGGAGAGCTGACTGGCTGCTTCAGCAGGCCCAGCTGTTTTACTGGTGTCCTTCCAACCCTAAATGATTTTGCCAACAAAAGGCTCATTTCATCCTTCGTTTTAGGGGGTGGTTGCTTTTCCCTTCCCTCTGGGGCTGTGGCAGAGGCAGTGTCTCTTGCACAGCACGTTTGGGAAGATGCCATCAGAGGCTGCTGTTGTTTGTGGCCTCCCTGCTCTGCCTGGATTTCTGCTGTTATCTGCTCAGTGTCCTGAGGATTTGAAACCAGCTTGCTGCAGTTACAGTAATAAGCTTTTTTTCTCAAAAAAAAAAAAAAAAAAAAAAAAAAAAAAATTCCTACCAGCTCTTTTGTAACTTGTAAAACATAATTTTCTAGGTACCTGATTCCTTGTGGGAATGCTGCTCAAAGCACCCCACTTGCCAGGATGACTGCTGTGAGCATATACTGCTCCTTTGGGCCCCAAAAGAGGAGTCCAGCCCTGTTTGCTGCCAGGATGCTGCTTTGGGGACAGGTCACATGGGACAGCCAGCCAAAGTAAACAGAACCCTATTGCCTTCCTTGTCCTTGCTGCCTGCACAGTCATTCCCATCAGCTGAAAGGGGATGTGAATTTCCCTTCTGTTGAAGAAAACCAATAGTCTCCTCCTTGGGTTTGTTGCTGCTGGGAAGAGCAAAAGAGCATTTGCCAAGTGGGACACTGAAGAAAGGAGCCAGGAGATTGTATATGTAGGGCAAAGAAGAAGAAACCCACGACCTTTGTTGTAGCTGTTTATTGCAATTATTCCTAATGCCAGCCTTGTGATGGGATTCAATTTTTGAGGTCACTGAAATTACCTAAAGAGCTGGTGTTGCTGTTATAACTGTGGGAGCTGCACCAGTCTCCAGGCAGGACCAACCTGCACAGGGTGTGGGACCCTCCCTGCTGTGTTTCAGCCCTGGGAAAGGTGTCTGGGGCTCTCCCATCCAGCTGTGCTGTTCCCTGCAGTACATGTATGCAGGCTACTGAACCAAGCCTGCTCTTGCAGAAATCCCTGAGTTCTAACATCTCCTTCCTGGGAACCAACCTCTGTGTTTTTCCCTGTCAGTGTGTGTTTGTGTGTTGGTGCAGCACGGGGCTGGGGGTTCAGGGTACAAAGAGGATGCCACTGCAGGAGGAGCACCCACTTTCTCCTTCAGCCATTAGGAGCAGATGCTGTCTGCGCCAGCTCATGACGTTGGCCATGTTTTTAGTTGTATCATAGAATTAAAAATTAATCGTGCCCTCACTCTCCTTCAGGCCCTGCCCACCAGGGTTGCCCTACCTGCCCCGTGTCTCAGTGCTTTCTTCCTCCAGGTTTTTATTTGCTCTGCAACTGTGAACTGCTCCAACGATAGTGTGGTGGAACAGAAGGAGCAGATCAGTGTCCCAGGACAGTCTTCTCTAGGTGCTTCTGGTTGTGATGGATCCAGGACTGCTCTCACTTCACACCCCAAATCCTCCTGCTATTACTGCTGAAAATAATCCTGCCAGTCCAAAGGTTGTTGATCGTAGGGGTGTGAGAATTGCACCTGAGTGCTGTTAGTGCCCAGGTCAGTACCTGGAAATGCAGAGGATAGGGACACTCACCTGCCTCTTTCCAGCCCAGGACTGCTCAGTGTCACAGCCAGCAGTGTCCTGTGCCCTGTCCCTGCTGCCTGTGGCTGGGTATTCTGTCATCCCTCCCACATGCATGGGCTCCAGGCTTGGCACTGCAGCTTTTGAGACATGAAGTTGAGAAGCAGGACGCTCATTTTAGCACTGTGGCAATCGTGTTTTCCGCCAGTGCATCCTCTTCCTCCATGCTGTGTCTGCAGTGGCTGAGGATGGCCATGACAGAGAGGGAACACACTCATCCTGGTGACCAGAGCAGTAGGATGACCATGGCTCTTGGGACAGGCAGAAGAGGAGGCTGCCAGGTAGTAACTCACAGTAGATTCAGTTTTGGATGCTCTGTTTCAGCCTTTGGAAGAGCCTGTCTCACTCCCTCCCCACAAAGTCCATTCTCCCCTTGTTTTCACTTAAAATTAGAGGGATGATGACCTCAATTTGGTTAACATGTTCAGCTGTTCCCACCATGCCAGCAGGTCCTGGTGCTGCCTCTGGGGCTGTGGCAGAGGCAGTGTCTCTTGCACAGCACGTTTGGGAAGATGCCATCAGAGGCTGCTGTTGTTTGTGGCCTCCCTGCTCTGCCTGGATTTCTGCTGTTATCTGCTCAGTGTCCTGAGGATTTGAAACCAGCTTGCTGCAGTTACAGTAATAAGCTTTTTTTCTCAAAAAAAAAAAAAAAAAAAAAAAAAAAAAAAAATTCCTACCAGCTCTTTTGTAACTTGTAAAACATAATTTTCTAGGTACCTGATTCCTTGTGGGAATGCTGCTCAAAGCACCCCACTTGCCAGGATGACTGCTGTGAGCATATACTGCTCCTTTGGGCCCCAAAAGAGGAGTCCAGCCCTGTTTGCTGCCAGGATGCTGCTTTGGGGACAGGTCACATGGGACAGCCAGCCAAAGTAAACAGAACCCTATTGCCTTCCTTGTCCTTGCTGCCTGCACAGTCATTCCCATCAGCTGAAAGGGGATGTGAATTTCCCTTCTGTTGAAGAAAACCAATAGTCTCCTCCTTGGGTTTGTTGCTGCTGGGAAGAGCAAAAGAGCATTTGCCAAGTGGGACACTGAAGAAAGGAGCCAGGAGATTGTATATGTAGGGCAAAGAAGAAGAAACCCACGACCTTTGTTGTAGCTGTTTATTGCAATTATTCCTAATGCCAGCCTTGTGATGGGATTCAATTTTTGAGGTCACTGAAATTACCTAAAGAGCTGGTGTTGCTGTTATAACTGTGGGAGCTGCACACCAGTCTCCAGGCAGGACCAACCTGCACAGGGTGTGGGACCCTCCCTGCTGTGTTTCAGCCCTGGGAAAGGTGTCTGGGGCTCTCCCATCCAGCTGTGCTGTTCCCTGCAGTACATGTAGGCAGGCTACTGAACCAAGCCTGCTCTTGCAGAAATCCCTGAGTTCTAACATCTCCTTCCTGGGAACCAACCTCTGTGTTTTTCCCTGTCAGTGTGTGTTTGTGTGTTGGTGCAGCACGGGGCTGGGGGGTTCAGGGTACAAAGAGGATGCCACTGCAGGAGGAGCACCCACTTTCTCCTTCAGCCATTAGGAGCAGATGCTGTCTGCGCCAGCTCATGACGTTGGCCATGTTTTTAGTTGTATCATAGAATTAAAAATTAATCGTGCCCTCACTCTCCTTCAGGCCCTGCCCACCAGGGTTGCCCTACCTGCCCCGTGTCTCAGTGCTTTCTTCCTCCAGGTTTTTATTTGCTCTGCAACTGTGAACTGCTCCAACGATAGTGTGGTGGAACAGAGGAGCAGATCAGTGTCCCAGGACAGTCTTCTCTAGGTGCTTCTGGTTGTGATGGATCCAGGACTGCTCTCACTTCACACCCCAAATCCTCCTGCTATTGCTGCTAAAAATAATCCTGCCAGTCCAAAGGTTGTTGATCGTAGGGGTGTGAGAATTGCACCTGAGTGCTGTTAGTGCCCAGGTCAGTACCTGGAAATGCAGAGGATAGGGACACTCACCTGCCTCTTTCCAGCCCAGGACTGCTCAGTGTCACAGCCAGCAGTGTCCTGTGCCCTGTCCCTGCTGCCTGTGGCTGGGTATTCTGTCATCCCTCCCACATGCATGGGCTCCAGGCTTGGCACTGCAGCTTTTGAGACATGAAGTTGAGAAGCAGGACGCTCATTTTAGCACTGTGGCAATCGTGTTTTCCACCAGTGCATCCTTCTCCTCCATGCTGTGTCTGCAGTGGCTGAGGATGGCCATGACAGAGAGGGAACACACTCATCCTGGTGACCAGAGCAGTAGGATGACCATGGCTCTTGGGACAGGCAGAAGAGGAGGCTGCCAGGTAGTAACTCACAGTAAGATTCAGTTTTGGATGCTCTGTTTCAGCCTTTGGAAGAGCCTGTCTCACTCCCTCCCCACAAAGTCCATTCTCCCCTTGTTTTCACTTAAAATTAGAGGGGATGATGACCTCAATTTGGTTAACATGTTCAGCTGTTCCCACCATGCCAGCAGGTCCTGGTGCTGCTGGGATTTGGGTCACAGTGCCCAGGGAACATGCTTTGGACCTGCAGCCCCTCCTTACAGTGACTGGCTGCAGCTCCACAGGGCAGCACTGGCTCACGCCTGCTCTCCAGGCACCATGAAGCAGCCAGGGAGGGTTAGTCCAGGGGGAGCATTGCATAGAGGGAGCCTCATCCTCCACATTAGTGCTTAGGGCACATTCTTAGTTTGGTTCCTCTGGGCCAAGCTGCAGCAAGGCATCACCCTGACGGGTTGAAGGGTGCAGGGTTACATCTCAATCCACTGCACAATGCACGTTCAGGCCATAGTGCAGCACCACTTCATTAGTGCCTCAAGTGGCTTGAAAACACTGAGCATTTCTGTCTCCCCTTTGTCTGGACTCAAGAAGGAGCCCAGATTCCCTCCAGATGCCCAGGATGGCCACAGCATGAACCCAAATTTCTAGAACTGCGAAGAGAGCAGAGAGGTTCCTGGTGCAGAAGCTGCTTGGAACAGCTGTGCTGGACAGCCTGGGGAAGAAACACAAACCTTTATGACTTTATTTAATAAGTTATTTATATATTATTTGCTTGGTAACTGAAATACCACTTTTGGTCTCTGACACCCACCAAACTGGCTGAAGTGGGGCTGGGAGCCCCACCCTCCTGCAGCCTCTCCTCCCTCAGAAACCCCATGGAGGTTTCCACTGGGGGGAAGGGGGAGAGTGTGCAAAAAAAAAGTGTATTTATTTCCCTTTAATTCCCAGACTGATGCAAACTGACAGGCAGGGGGGCATCCTCCTAGTGCGGGGGCCTGTTCTGCACCCCTGCTCTGGGCTGTGGCCGTGTGGGCAGTGCCTGTGGGCTCCCTGGGGCTGAGCACCGTGCATGTGGGTGGGCAGCAGCTCCTGTGAGCTCGAGGTCACAAGGCACAGAGGAGCCTGAATGCATCAGTCTCCTCTGTGGCCTCTGCAGCAGGGGGGATGTTACACCATGGGGGAGGGAGTGGTGGCAGCAGCTGGGGATCGTGTGCTGGGCATGGTGTGGAGCTGAGAAGTGGCTGCTTTGCTTTCCCAGTGAGTACACATGCTGCTTTTTTTTTGCTGGTCTTATGCTGAAAAGCTGAGATTTATGTACTGTATGAAAAAAAAAAACCCACAAAAAAACCCCACAACAGAAAAAAAGAAAAAATCCTAATGTTCCAAAATAAATCACAGTATATTTTGTACTTTGTAAAGTAATTAAAATGAAAAAAGAATAAAAAGTGAAACGCTGTCTGCTTTTGTACTGATCAAACTGATGAAAATAAAGCAGAGCTTGGCATTGTCTATAAGACGTAACTCTAATTTCTTTCACCTACAGCTGCACTGGGCCTCACTCCGTTTAGGAAGGCCAGCAGACATCCCCAAGGCTCTCCAGTGTCCAGGACCTATCACCAGGTGTACTGGTACCCACCACCATTTCCATCCTCCAGCTCTTCTTTGGGAGCCACAAACGTAATCCCATCCTATTTCCTTAAAAGACAAGGTTAGTGGGATGCTAATATTGTATTTGCCAGACTTAGTTTTACCGGCTCACTCCAGGGTGCAAGATGCCTGGGAGCCTGGAGAGCCCCAGTAGAGATCCCAGTGAAGCATCCCCAGAGCCCTGCAGCCCCTTCATGGCCTATTTTAGGGCAGTCACTGCTGGGTCCTGAGTCTCAGTCAGCAGCATGGCTGCACAGCACCACTGCCAGTGCTTCTCTGCAAGGAGGAGCTGAAGAACCTGGCTGAAATGTGCAAGAAAAACAGTGAAATCACGCGTATCATCACCCTATCACAGTTGTAACCGTTTATAGTGGATGTTTTAACAGGAAGCAGATCAACTGCATAAACTGTGGTCAAGAAAAGTATCTCCTTCTTAGCATAGTGTAACCCCTTTTTTACTCTTCCAGTCAAGTGTAAGAGCATTCATGTAAGAAATTAGTGTGGGATTGCTTATCTGGAATGCAGCCCTATTGCAGAGTGCTGCCTTGAGGATTTAATCCATTAATACACAAATAAATCAACACAGGCACTGCCATACAATCTCAGCACTGCCTTGTCACTCCCTGCAAAAGCAACTGTCATCTTAGGGTAAGTAACAGGATTTAGGCTGTTAAACTGGTGTTCAGACCCTGAAGACACTGCACACACTGAGAGGCTTTTAACATTTGAGTTACCTCACCTGCCCAGGCTCACACCTTTGAGCAGGAGGTGCTGGGCCATTGGGGGATGGGCGAGACTCCAGCCCCTTGCAAAAAATACTACAAAAAAAGATTCTGATGACTCATGATAAAATAACGTTATTTTAGGAGTTATTATTTTGAATGTTACAGGCTAATTATTAGTTATCAGAATCATTTGTTTTTGAAGGATCCTGTAGAGAAAAGAGTCTGGTGTAATGCAACAAGTGCCCAAGATAATCTTTGTCTTACAGGCACTGTTTTATCCCCAGTTGGGCAGTTTGCTGACGAGAGGAGCCCAGCCTTGCTGTGCAGGGGCTCACGGGGTGGCCCAGGGCCATGCTGGGGCCAGCTCTCCAGCAGGAAATTGCCAGCAGCCCCTTGGAATGGCAGGGCACTTGGGCTTGAACCTTTCGTCCATCCCTCCTGCAGCTCCTTTAGCCCTCGGCCACTGCTGTGCTCAGAGCTGTCCTGCACAGGGCTCTGTGCCAGGGGCTCATCCGGAAGCCCTTTTGGGCTATTTTAAGCCAAATGTGCCGGCACAGTGCTGTTCAGAGGATGAATTACTCGTGTAATCAATGCCAAATCAAGTAGGCTATTCTAGCTCTAATTTGAGCTGCTCCCCATGTGCATCCCTGGCCCCCACCCCCCTCACTGCAGGTATGTTTAGGGATGCAGGTGTTATTTTGGGCTACTCTGCCATACTTTGAAGGACAAAATGATACAAAGTTGCCTTGCAGTGCACACTGGTAGAGACCTGGGGTCACCCCAGCATGGCAGAGCCCCTCAGTCCTGTGGGAGGAGCACAAGCCCTGGAGGTTGGGGCTGCCTCTGACAGGAGGGGTGGCAGGGGGAAGACAGCATTTTCATTTTGAGCCACAACCGAGCCTATCAGCAAAGGTAGCAGCACCTCTTGAAGAACACACTTCAGAAGGTGGAAAAACCTGCTGCACAGCACCAGGCAGGAGAGTGAGAACCTGTGAGAGACAACTATGCAGACACCAAGGTCAGTGCAGGAAAGCGAGGAGAGAGATAAACCAGGAGTAAAGATGAGCCTGGAAAGAAAAGAGTGGTATGGGAAAGGCACTTTTAGACTTCTCATTCCTCAGCAATAAAATAATTTCTCCGTGAACCTGTTGTGCTCACAATGGTAATGTGTAAGTGATGCCCTGTCCTTATCCCAAGCCACATGCTTTCCTTCAGATCTTCTCCCTGTGTCCTGTTGATGCAGGGGGATTTGGTAACAGAGCAGCTTGGGCAGCACCTGACCAAGGTCAAACTGCCCCCCCCGCCACTGTAACCAAAACAAGGGTGAATGCTGGTCTTGCTGAACTGCAGACCCACTGCCACTAACCTAGTTCCCACCAAGCAGCGTCTGAGAATCCCACAGCCACTGTAATGAAAGTGCAAATGCCCCCACTGCATTAAGCCATACACTTCTATTTAGGGCTAAAGACCTCACAGGCATCTCATTAACACACAGATTTTCAATTTACTGCACAGCAAGACTGCTACACAACAAAGTATGACACACCACTAACTCATCCCTGCTCTGCAGAAGGTCCAGCCCCAAGGTGTATTGGGAAACAGCTGTGCACAAGAGCAGCTGAGAGCCCAGCACTAACCAGCCTTCCTCAACAGCAGCATTCATAACGGGAATTGTTTGTAACACCTTTCTTACAAGAGTTTTTGTATTTGTTTTCAGTGCTTTAATAAAGCTCCTCACGTTAAAAGGGCACAGCTACTCCCATGAGGCTAACAAGGCACAGCAGCACAAGCTGCCCAAGTCACATGTAGAATCAGGTATAAATTAAAGCTAACTAAATGAGAATTCATAGCAGTGAAGGTCTACCAATTTCACAGTAGCTTTCTGCTTGTTCTGCCTCAACTCACCCAGCAATACCCATTTCACAGGAACATCAGTAAGAACTGAGAGATGTGCCTCTATTTCTGTGTACTTTGGTTCACCTTTCCTGTATTTTATGAAAAGCTATTCAAGACTTATTTCATTAAAGTTTAAACCCTGAGTTTTGGTATAGAATTTCATCTAAGGAAGCCAAAATGTGAGTATGTGGTGTCCCCTGGGGCCGCAGATGGAAGTGTGAAGGTGGCTGACAGAAGTGGTTTCCTCTCACATCACCAGGAACCAAAATGCTGAAGATTAAATGCAGAGTGCAAGACAGAAGCTTACGTGTGAAGTCATGCTCAAGAATATTCCTATTACTACTGATAAAGACTTTATAATCACTTTATTTAAAACATATCAGCTTGGATTTTGACAAAATAATTTGCACAGTAGAATTACCCCCCAGAGAGAAAAGACAACTCTGCCTGATGTTCGGAGTGTTTCACAGGGGACAGTTTCCCACTCTTGATGTGAAATTGGTAAGTGCCTGCTACAGATACATACAGCTGCTGCATCCTATTTCCACCACCTTACTGCTAAGAAGGTATCAAGGAACAAGGCTCTGCTTCTCACCCATTAAGACTCCTTCCCCTGCTAGGCAATCCTGAAAACCCCAGCTAATTGCAACTGAGAGCTGCTGTACCTCTGAAAAGAGAGTGCAGGGACTCCCCTCAAAAAATCAGATGTGTGATCAGCACAAAAAGAGAACGTACCTGAGGAGCAGTGAGCACTACTGAGATCCATGCCTGAGCACCAAGTCGGCAGGTAGCTGAACAGGGACTTTGTTTCCAGCCTCCCTCCCACGATAGGCTAGATGGGCTTCTGTCACCATCTATCTGTCCTCCCACAGCAGCACAGACAGCCTGGGACTGATCTTTCCCTGCTCTTATTTAACAGTACTTTCCCCTGCAAACAGGTTCTCACTCTTTGAATGTGTTCCTCAACTATTCAGCCTTTAGTGCTGACACAGAAAACTGCAACAGCCCACGGGCACACCACTGCCTCTAGGCCACCACTCTGTGTCCAGCTGTGTGTCCAGTTTCCACAGGGACACAGTGCAGCTGGGGGTGGCCACTCAGGACAACTGTGCTGGGCTTCAACAGCCAGCACAACCTCTCTTCCACATAAAAAGTAGCTATTAAAAAAAACCCCTTCCCCTTGAGAAATAGTTTGGCTCTGCTCAACACTGACACCCCAGAGCTGGTGACAGGGAGTGTCCATAAATCAGTGTCCTATGCTGTAGATTTCATCCCATGCCAGTCTTCCTTGAGGGAGATGCTCTTCATTCTCAGGCACAGAGAGGTTCACCACTTTGGGGCTGGGCCTCAGATTCTCAGGGAGCTCATCACGAACCAGCCAGAGCTCTCTTTGCATTTCCAAACTCAAGGAATGTGCTTGCTTCCTGCAGCCAGGGCAGAGTGTTTCAACGATGCAGAGATGACAACACACCCAGGCACTGCTATGGCTGTCTCTGCTCACAATCACTTGGCTTCACAGAATGAGTCTTCCTTTCCAAGTAGCTCATCACCAAGTCCCCCCAATGCCCTGGGACAGTGCTGAGGCCCAGCAGCGTTCCTAGGTGAAAGACTTGACCAAGCTCACCATATGATCAACTCCACACGCCACATCCACCACCTCACCGGGCACAGTCACCTGGAGCAGATACATGAGAATGGGTTATTTATCAAGCTGGTACTTTGCACCTGATATTTCCTTTTTCTCAAGCTCCTTCTGCTCAACATGCCATCTGGTTTCACAGGGCCTTGTATCAATGGAAGTGCCAACTTGAAAACCCAGAAAGAACAAGATTCAGCACCAGGCATGCTTGTACACTGAGCTGTGAAATACTCCTCTCTTTCCTCCACAGAAGCACATAAAGCTTTGGAAGGACAGGAGAGCTGGCTCACTAGCAGATCATGAGACTGTAGCCTCAGCCCATCTGTTCAGCAGCAGAAGCAGCATGACTGAACAGAGAGCATAATCCAGAGAGCAGGAAGAGCATCTGCCCGAGGACCACAAGGATTTGCCTCTTCTCTCATCAGTGAGAACAGGAACAAGGCAAAAGCTCAACTCCGTCTAAGGCAGTTTGTGCTTTGATGCTAAGAGACCAATTCCTTAATCCTGAAATTACAGGCTCCTTAAAGCTGACCTCAAACTTGAGGAAAGCAGAGGCTAAAAAGGCAAGTTTTTCCTTAGAGCTAAGAGAGAGGACAGCTGGCCAATCCTAGTACAAGAGGAGGTCACAGACAAGGATCACAGCACGTTGCCATAGCACTGTGAGACAGGAGTTGGCTGTCTGAAGGAGCATAGCCCCAACATTCTCACTTAGGGAAACCTGGACGTGCCACGCTTGGTGAATTCAGAAATTCCACTCAGCCACAGCAGTGTGATTTTAGGCAAGTGTTCCAGAGCTGGTCTGATTTTATTTATGTTTACAAGGAGGAGAAAACATATTACAGAAACACATCCACTGCAAGCTCAGACACACTAACAGAAACTCCAGGGTGGCCCCACTGATTGCCTATCTCCTCTCCTACTTGGCCTTCATGGAGACCAGATAATGGGTTAGGCTGAACTCCTGAGCCAAGGACTCTTCTACATTCACTGAGTCTGGCTCTCAGAGCCATCTGAGGGAAGGGACTAGAACTAGAAGTGCTATGCCACAGCTATGAAGACAGTTGAGTAAGGATCTCCTACTGTAACCTCAGTCAGTCCAGTGACCCACCATCAAAGCTGGGAAGGAAGCCCACCACTATGCAGACCTGTAGCCATGACAGTCTGACCACCATGACCAAAATGTCCACCTAATTTAGATGAGTAATTTCTTCTGGGACAGATGACCAATACTGGTGGTTTTCTTTGCAGCACATACAAAAGTGAAGCACAGGTTAGAAGAGGAGGGAAAAGGCAGTAAGGGTAGCATGTAGATGATGGTGAACAGGAAGGAGTTGAGAACTGTTCAGATGTGGTGGCACAGCACCAGATGTTGTTTTTGGATCTGAAATCATTAGTGGCATAGTAGACAAAGGTTTACTAAATACCTCCATCCCTAAGCAAGCTACATAAGGACCTCTGGAAAATAAAGTACTTCTACAGTCATCTTAAGACTTCCAGTTCTTTCAGAATTATTCAACAAAACCACACACAAAAAACTAGCCAAAGAATATACTCTTGGCATTAATATCACAATCCTTACCCTCCACGGGAAATACTGGTCTTCCATTCTTCCAGTTCCCAGGCACCCTCTTAGATTCTTGCCCCATACAAACAGTTCTCCTCTGTCTATACAGGAGAAGAAAAATAACAGAAAAGAACAGGGACATTAAAAAGGACAAATTCTATTTGTGATGTTGGCAAATGTGGCTACATGTTTCTGGGAGTATACAGGGTTATACAAGCAGTATGACAGCCACCAAATTTACTTCAAGGTACAATACATGTATTTGTGTTTGGGGAAAATGCCTAATGAGCAGGTCAAACAACAAGTTCTGTGCACAAGTCTTTGTTTCCCCCTCTTACAGCTATTGCTTTAGAATTTTATTTGAAGAAAGAGTGCAGCAGAAGAGATTCCAGGGAATCATTTGTGAAATGAATCATTTGTGCTGGAAGTCAGACAATTGGAACTGATCCATATCAGCTATAAGCAGAGCAAATCCAGTAAGCAAGGCAGTGAGATCTGTCCCAAGCCATCACCTGGGGACTGCTTATTTGGCTGCCTGACAGAAGTGACCTTCTAATGACAGCTGGAGAAAAGCAAAAACTTGTGTTTAACAGAGTTAAAAGAGTTTTAGGCTCCTCAGGAAAATATGTAGATCTTGGAAGTGTTTGGATCAGCCCCACTGCAGAGACCACCAAAACACAATCTATAAAGTCTGTATGATTTAATCAAAACATGGTTTCTGTTTCCTGAGCACTAAGGGGAGCCCAGTTAGAAGCACCCTGCGACCAGACTGACAGTGTCACATATGCTGCTTGCTCCAAAGGAGCCAGCACCGTCACTCAAGTGCCCCTATGCCTACACTCGCTGTGGGTGTCTGTGCTGCTGCCCTCTGCTGCTTGATGTCAAATGACTTTCAAATTCCAAACCCTTCAAAGGCTGGGAACCCACACAGGGTGCACAAAGTACAGTATCATACCCTTTGCATATTAAATGTCTGGTCTGCCCACATTGGGCTGTTAATTCAATTGGTCAGAAATGCCAAGAAACCCTGACATGTAGCTCCACTTAGACTCAATTTTAATTTGTTCATTTATCATTTATAAATTCACGTACTCCTAAAGTGCACAAATTCTGCAGAGGCAGAAGAAAAAACCTTGCAGGTTTCCTGTTTGAGAGAAGTTTTTTTTTGTTTTAGACAAATAACACTTTCTTAATTAAAGCATAAGTTAGCACAGTATGTATGCCAGAAACCATGCTGACACCTGCTGCCTGCCCTCCCCACTGCATTCCAGTGTGCTTTTAGTCTCAAGAAAGATGGGTGCTTTTTTGAGGTCTTTTTTTTTTTCTTTTGGTTTGTCTTCTTTTCTGCCAATAACACAGCAATGTGACTTCCCCACGACAGCGGGATGAGAAACTTACTTGTAAGTGCGGCAAACTGGCTGAGTCCACAGCGAATATGAGCAACACAGATGTCCGAATTGAAGTCTGACCAGCCAAAAAGGCTGGGCGGGATCCTCTCTGGCACTGCTGTCTCTATTAGGTTTGGTCCTTTCCCAAGAATTCCATATCCCCAGACAAAAACATTTCCTTCTTCTGTATTATAGTAAGAACACATTCTGTAAGAAAGTCTGTGCTTGTGAAATTCATGCCATGACCAAGAGTTAATCGAGAACCAAAGCGATATTTTCCTTTCTCCCAGACCAGTCTAACATCTTTTGATTATTTCAAATCTGCAAACAATGCATTCCCATCCAAATGCCTCAATTTTTCCCTAAACTGTGCAAGCAGTCAAGCTTCCCAGGCAAAACTTTCATAGGGAAATAATGCCAAGACAGTGTTGACTGGATAAAATACTTCAGCTTACTGAGTGATGGGACAGAGGTTGAGGGTTTATTATCATGGTTTTCTCCTTTGAGGCATGCCCAAACCACCAGTAGGTTCATCACTCTGCCTGGCATTCTGCCTTAAGCTGGGTGCCTGAGAAAGTCAGCAGTTGGACAGTGTAAGACAGTAAGTTTCTTTATCAGCTAGCTCTGTTCCCTTCACACTAGAAGCTCAAATGTCTGGTCATCACAATGACTCCATCATAAATATGAACCACTTCCTCAAGATGACACTTCACAAAAGAAGTACAATCCCCTCCCTCATTCCTTCACTCAGCAACCCTCCAGCTGTGCTCCTCAGCCACTGACAATCCAAGGAACAGTCACTAAGAAACTGCTGCAAAGTTTCACTGTTCTCAGAACTCTCTACTTTCTGTCCTAGTTTATAAAGACTTATAAACATGTCAGATTCATATGGAGTCTGAAGTGTGGCCTTACTTCCTCCCTATATCCATACTCATCATAGGCCACACATGGCCTGTGTGATAGCCAACAGCAGCTGATCTCTTGTTCTAGTCTGCTGAAGCTCTCAAAATGGCACACAGTGGAAGCAATGCTCTGTACTAGTGAAAACAACTCCTCTAGTACATTCTTAAATCACAGATTTCTCAGTCTCACAGCTCTCCTCGTACTTACCTATTTCTAGAAAACAACATGCTTTTTCCACGATGTTACAATTCACCTACTGCACGGCCTTGCACTAAAGCGGATGATCCTAGAAGTGAACTCACCTGTTAGTACAGCATTGCCAGTCCCTCCACAGGCAGCCTCCTTTATCTTCCCAATCTTGAATGGCAAATGTCTGGGAACATTCACCTGTATGAGATTGCAGAAGAGCGGTTAGACCCAAGGTAAACTGCAAACCAGACACATGTTTTTAACTTTTTCTCTAGTTCTGGTTAGAGATCACATACACTGGATTCCTGATAAAACCTTTATTGCCTGAATAACAGAATAAGTGCAAGTCCAAAAATTAAAAAAAAAAAACAAAACCTACATGAAGTTCATTAAGGTGAGGATAAGGTGGAAAAGGTTACCCACTGGAAAGCTTACATGAAAGACAACAAGGCTGGGAATGCCTAATGTCTGCTTCAATTCCTTAGTTCTCCATGTCAGACACAACATGGAAGTCAATATATGAACACGTTTGCAAGTTTTCACAGTGGAGTACATCACTAAAATTTGGTCTGCAGTGGCATTTAACATACTGGAGAAAAATCACTAGAAGAAAGTTGCACTTATTTGGTACAGTCCAACAAAACAGAAACATACAGTTTGACACATGGAAAGAGCAATCTCTGATTTCACAGCTCTGCTATTCCACAATTTGGACTTCATCTGTGTTGTAGCTAAGACTCTTATTCTTGCCCTTCATCCACTTCAGATCCCTCTGACCTCCATCGAGCACCCAAGCCAGGAAAACTACTACACAGGATAACCTCATCACTGTTTTCAGGCATTACAGGTCTCAGGATTTAGCCTTATATTAAGGATACATCAGGAGAGGCATGGGAAACAAAGGTTTCTAAAATTTTGCTAAAGCCATTCTTGCTAAGGATGTTGTAATGGGTTTTAGTAGCCAGAGGGGGCTATAGAACGATTCCAGTTAGAAGCTACTAGAAGTTTCTATGTCCTATCCTATAAAAAAAGCCAATGACAGCCAGCTCCAGGAGGGACTTCCTTGGTGATGGCCAATGATATGCGCTTTATTTAAGAATAGAGGAAGAGAAGCTTGTGGCACAGAAGAAATTCCAGCCCGGAGAAGAGCGGAGGAGAACATTGGATAACAAGCAGACTCCAAGGTCAGAGCAGAAGAAGGGGGAGGAGAGGCCTGGGAGGGCCTCCCCCTGCCCGTCCAGCAGGGGAAAGACTGAGACCCCTGCTGCCTCTGGAAGGCTATTGGGGTGCAAAAACCTCCCTGCAGCTTATTAAAGAGCTCATGCTGTAAGAAAGTCTGTGCTTGTGAAATTCATGCCATGACCAAGAGTTAATCGAGAACCAAAGCGATATTTTCCTTTCTCCCAGACCAGTCTAACATCTTTTGATTATTTCAAATCTGCAAACAATGCATTCCCATCCAAATGCCTCAATTTTTCCCTAAACTGTGCAAGCAGTCAAGCTTCCCAGGCAAAACTTTCATAGGGAAATAATGCCAAGACAGTGTTGACTGGATAAAATACTTCAGCTTACTGAGTGATGGGACAGAGGTTGAGGGTTTATTATCATGGTTTTCTCCTTTGAGGCATGCCCAAACCACCAGCAGGTTCATCACTCTGCCTGGCATTCTGCCTTAAGCTGGGTGCCTGAGAAAGTCAGCAGTTGGACAGTGTAAGACAGTAAGTTTCTTTATCAGCTAGCTCTGTTCCCTTCACACTAGAAGCTCAAATGTCTGGTCATCACAATGACTCCATCATAAATATGAACCACTTCCTCAAGATGACACTTCACAAAAGAAGTACAATCCCCTCCCTCATTCCTTCACTCAGCAACCCTCCAGCTGTGCTCCTCAGCCACTGACAATCCAAGGAACAGTCACTAAGAAACTGCTGCAAAGTTTCACTGTTCTCAGAACTCTCTACTTTCTGTCCTAGTTTATAAAGACTTATAAACATGTCAGATTCATATGGAGTCTGAAGTGTGGCCTTACTTCCTCCCTATATCCATACTCATCATAGGCCACACATGGCCTGTGTGATAGCCAACAGCAGCTGATCTCTTGTTCTAGTCTGCTGAAGCTCTCAAAATGGCACACAGTGGAAGCAATGCTCTGTACTAGTGAAAACAACTCCTCTAGTACATTCTTAAATCACAGATTTCTCAGTCTCACAGCTCTCCTCGTACTTACCTATTTCTAGAAAACAACATGCTTTTTCCATGATGTTACAATTCACCTACTGCACGGCCTTGCACTAAAGCGGATGATCCTAGAAGTGAACTCACCTGTTAGTACAGCATTGCCAGTCCCTCCACAGGCAGCCTCCTTTATCTTCCCAATCTTGAATGGCAAATGTCTGGGAACATTCACCTGTATGAGATTGCAGAAGAGCGGTTAGACCCAAGGTAAACTGCAAACCAGACACATGTTTTTAACTTTTTCTCTAGTTCTGGTTAGAGATCACATACACTGGATTCCTGATAAAACCTTTATTGCCTGAATAACAGAATAAGTGCAAGTCCAAAAATTAAAAAAAAAAAAACAAAACCTACATGAAGTTCATTAAGGTGAGGATAAGGTGGAAAAGGTTACCCACTGGAAAGCTTACATGAAAGACAACAAGGCTGGGAATGCCTAATGTCTGCTTCAATTCCTTAGTTCTCCATGTCAGACACAACATGGAAGTCAATATATGAACACGTTTGCAAGTTTTCACAGTGGAGTACATCACTAAAATTTGGTCTGCAGTGGCATTTAACATACTGGAGAAAAATCACTAGAAGAAAATTGCACTTATTTGGTACAGTCCAACAAAACAGAAACATACAGTTTGACACATGGAAAGAGCAATCTCTGATTTCACAGCTCTGCTATTCCACAATTTGGACTTCATCTGTGTTGTAGCTAAGACTCTTATTCTTGCCCTTCATCCACTTCAGATCCCTCTGACCTCCATCGAGCACCCAAGCCAGGAAAACTACTACACAGGATAACCTCATCACTGTTTTCAGGCATTACAGGTCTCAGGATTTAGCCTTATATTAAGGATACATCAGGAGAGGCATGGGAAACAAAGGTTTCTAAAATTTTGCTAAAGCCATTCTTGCTAAGGATGTTGTAATGGGTTTTAGTAGCCAGAGGGGGCTATAGAACGATTCCAGTTAGAAGCTACTAGAAGTTTCTATGTCCTATCCTATAAAAAAAGCCAATGACAGCCAGCTCCAGGAGGGACTTCCTTGGTGATGGCCAATGATATGTGCTTTATTTAAGAATAGAGGAAGAGAAGCTTGTGGCACAGAAGAAATTCCAGCCCGGAGAAGAGCGGAGGAGAACATTGGATAACAAGCAGACTCCAAGGTCAGAGCAGAAGAAGGGGGGAGGAGAGGCCTGGGAGGGCCTCCCCCTGCCCGTCCAGCAGGGGAAAGACTGAGACCCCTGCTGCCTCTGGAAGGCTATTGGGGTGCAAAAACCTCCCTGCAGCTTATTAAAGAGCTCATGCTGGAGCAAGTGGATGCATGAGGGAAACTGTGATCCTGTGTGAGGCCTTAAGCATGGAGCAAAGTCCTGCAGGAGACCTGTGGCCCATGGAGAGAAAAACCCATGCTGAAACAAGTTTTCCCGGGTAGGACTTGTCCGGAATGACACATGGGCAGCAGATTGAAGAGAACTGTACCCGAGGGGTAGACGGACCCATGGGGAGAGGTCCATCAAAGACTGTCTTCTGTGGGGAGGGGCCCCACAGAAGAAGGGGAAGGGCTCAGAGCCATGACCTCCCTGTAGCTGAGGTGAAGACTATGGTGACGCAGTCCATAGAAGACCATCGGGATGCAAAGACCCTCCCTGCACCCGACAGAGGAGTAACCCACAGGGCAGCAGATTGGCAAGAACTGCTGTGCAAGGAGTGGACTCAAATTGATTGCAAAACCCCCTCTCCCATCCCCCTGCACTTGCTGGGGGGAGGAGGGAGCACTTGGAAGAAAGCAGTGGGGGGGAAGGAGGGAAAGGTGTTTGTTTAGGACTGTTTTATTTCTCACTCTCTTAGTTTTATCTTGTTAGTAATAAATTTAAGTTTTATTCCCTACATTGAGTCTGCTTTGCTCTTATCTATCCTCATGAATTCCTTGCTGATTTTTTTCCTCTCCTCTGCTACTTTGCAGGGGGAGAGTGAGAGAGTGGCTCAGTAGGTATCCTGGCACCTTGCCAGGGTCAAACCACCACAGATATCCACTTGAAATTCTAGATTAGCCAGCCGAATGACTAATTCCTGTCCTGAAACTTGCAAAAGCACTTCAGCTGGGTCTCATGGAGTTCTTAGACTAACAAACTGGGGTGAGGTGACACAAGCCTTTGCCTATTACAGCTGGGAAACATACTGCCCTAAAACTATACAAACGTGTCAGACAGGTTGAGTTTTATAAGCACAGGTAAAAGCAGCCCGTTAGTAGTATTAGTTTTTATCAATTTACACTGCTGTCAGAAGGACCCAGAGCAGGGATAAGTGCGTCATCTTTAACTCTGTGCACAGCAGCTGAACTGAAACACGTAAAAACACACCCCCAGGCCAACTGACCTGTGTGGTTTCTGTGACAGATGCCAACTGCAAGTATTCTGAATTTCCCCAACCAAAGACATCTCCTTCATCTGAAACAGCCAGACAACAGTCCCCATAGGAAGAGACCTGGATAACATTTACTCCAGCAATGTCACCATGTAGCTTAGTAGGAACACTGGTGATGTTGTAGTGTCCAAGACCTGAAAGAAAAAAAAGTTGAGAGATGATGAAGAATTTTTTCTAGACACACTTCTAGCGCCTGCATAGGACCGTTTTGTCATGTAACAAAATCACCCAGCCTCCAAAAGACATCTTTCTGTCCATACTGCTTAACTTCAATGGACAAGTAGCCATAAACACCACTTCCAGTAGCCAAAACTACCTCTCTGGAGTACACCACACCTGGAAAACAGTCTCATTTCTCTTGTCTGCATAGACCAAAGTGTTTGAAAAACAGTAACAAAGCCAGGCAGATATCCTGACAAGAGATGAAGTTTCACAAACTGACTGCAACCTGTCTTCTGCAAGGAGAGCCGTGAGTGACAGCACACTGCAATCAGTTAAGACAACAGCAAGGGAAGTGGCAAAAGAGGCTGGGAAGCAAATGCTTTACAAGACAAATTGCTGCCGGGAAAAGAGACCAGAATGTAGATGACAGAAAGATGGGCTACAGCATATTGGCACAAAAACACATGGGAGGAACACAGCTTTGGGAGCAGGAGGACTGAACAGTAGGAATGACTCTTAGGAAGTTCTCTGACAGCAAAAGCCACCAGAAAAAGTGTCTGCCCAAAGATCCCACGCTAAGACAGCAGAGGCTGCCAAAGGGCTTAGTCAGTTCAAAAGAGCAAGAAGCAAAACAGATCCTGAAACAAGAATCAGGAAGGCAAAGCCTGCACAAAACTGGGGAGCTAAGCTGCCCATGTCACTTCCACATCCCCTCAGAAGCTTTCAACAGCAGACACATTCTCCTCAGACTGCATGACATCCTAAAGCTCCTCCAAAAATGAACTAGATTGTCTCAGTTTGGTTATACAAGAGTACTGAGAACATCTGCACACAGCTGGAAACATACCAGCCCCTTTCTGTCCACACATGCACGTCATAAGCTCTGAATTATGACAACTTGCTATATTCATCAATTCCCTGAAAAGCAAGCTGAGCTGAGCTCCTACCTGTTTGTCCATCAGCTCCCCATCCACATGCATAGACTGAACCTTTCTTGGTTCTAAACAGGCTGTGGTCCTGCCCACACACTACCTGCACACAAACAAAAAGTCAGAGCTGGTTAGGAAAGGTCATGTGTTCAGACTCAAGGTAATGAAGCATTACTGGCAGATAAACTGAGCCTCTACAATGCCCATCAGTTCAAATTTTGACCTTTCTTTCCTGATCAAATGGCTCTACAGATAGGGAAGACCAAGAACAGCAGGACACAACACTGAACAGTGAGATACACACCAAAACCAGCAGCCTATTTTTGATGGAAAGCAATGCTGCAGTGATTTGTTCTGAAATCCAACAGGGAAAGAAAACTCAATTCAGCAGTACAACACAATAAAACAGTAAAGGGTAAATAAGAGCTCTTCTTTCCCAGAATGCTAACAACATGGCTCTTGATGCCAGCTACAAACTACTATTGATTCCTTGCCATGTGAGCACTCTAGGCACACAGCTGTTCTCAAATCTACATTTATGTCGAACTAGCGATCATGTCTGTCACAGGCTTGGCATGAATTAAAGACAAGCAAAAAGTTATTCAAAAGCAGACATTAAAAATTAGCCAAAGATTAAGGGGACTTAATCAACAAGTTAAGAGAAGGACTACTAATATTAAGCACAGAACAGCTCTTATCTAAGTACAAACAGGTACCAAGTAGTCAACCCCCTGAAAAAATAAAACCATGAAAAGTCCAAACAGAAGTTTACAAGCCTAATTCAAAACATTTTCAGGATGTAGCATGCCACAGTCTCATCAGGTGAACCTAACTGAATGACCCTTCCTTGGAACAGGAGCAATGTCTGCCCATACAGTATGTCTACAGGGGCACAGATATACCAAAAAAACTGTTCCTGGGAATACTGCAGCCATGGCAGGCATTGTGGCATTTCTGCTGCTCTGCAGTCCCTTGCTCTCCTAGGAACCTGCCCTAAGGAAATGCTGGCTGGTCTAAGTGATGGTCTCACAGCTCGCTTTTGAAAAGGGAAAGACAAAATTCAAACTAAAATAACTCCCAAGCAATATAAAATTTACAAGGGGAACAAGAAGCCAGGACAGGAAGAGATGAGGTGTCAAAATGACCTCCCTGTACTGGCAAGCCCAGAAATGGACACTGTAATTCAACACTGCTGAGCAGAAGGGAAGAACCACCTCCCCTGACTTGCAGGTAACACTCCTCCCAGTGCAGCCCAGGGTATCATTTGCCCTCTCTTCAGCAAGCGCACACTGCCAGCTCATGGGCAGTGTGGTGTCCACCAGAACCCCCAGGGCCTTTCCCACAGAGCTGCCTCACAGCCAGTCACCCCCAACATACAGTGGCATCTGGGGCTGCTCCTACCCAGTGGCAGGACTTGGCCCTTCCCCTTGCTGAACTTGATAAGGTTGATATAGGCCCATTTCTCCAGCCTCTGGTTTATCAGCCACTCCTCACAGTTTATGCCATCTGTTAATCTGCTAAATCTAAAGTGTACACTCAGTGATCCAGACCATTAGTGCAAAAGTACACAGGACTGGACCCAGTACTGACTCCTGGGATACAGCACTCCTTACTGGTTGCAATTTGGCTTCATGCCAGTGACTGCCACCCTCTGAGCTCAGCTTTCAATCCACCTTCAGAACTGAGCTCAGATGATCCTCTTACCTGGACAACTCTGCTGTCAAACTCCTTCAGCTGATGAATGAGGTGGCTTTCACTGGACACCAAACCACCACCGAGAAGAAAAAAGACAACACAGAAGATTTCAGAGGACTGCAACTGAAAAAAGCAAAGGTAAACCTGCCTTTACTGAAAGCCACTTTATTATTACAAGAAGAGATTTGTCCACGTGTAGTTCCACATGCAAAACAACTGCATGAAGAAGGAACATAATTTTACATTCTTTTATTTAAGAAATTAAGAACTGTCACTTTTTAAATATAACTTTTCATGGGAATTGGGGTAGGAGCAATCCTCAAAGATGGTCCCTAGTCTAGAATGGGCACAGACACTACATAATACTGCAGTACCTATACAAACAGTACACTTAACTAGAGATTAACCAAATAATCCAGAGCACAATGTAGTGCTGACATCCCTGTAATTCTTTCACAGTACCAGGAATTATGAGCAATCCAATGACTGACTTGCAGTATCAAGGCTAACAAAAACTACCTAATTACAGCTGTTTTCTCAAACTCTACAGTCCAAGTGTTGTGGATCACAGAGAGAGCGATGAACAAGATTTCTTCTAGGTCCTGCCAGGGAATCAGAAACTTCCACTTACACGTTCCCACTATCCACTTACTCACTGCTATCTTACAGAGCATTTGAGCATATGCTTTGGTGTGGCCCACAAAAAGCTTGTGAAGGAAAAGCACTACAGATTCAGAGGCAGTTACAGCAGAGATTCAACCAAAGCACGCCTCTTTCATAATCAAATGGCATTTCTTAACACCCTCAGGAACTGCACGTGGGCTCTGAGTTGTTAAAGGGAGAAAGCCCAATTACTAACACCAATTACCTCAAGCAATTTATGAAGGCTGGGTTTTCTCTCTATACCCTGTGAGAACTGTCCCATGCTGACCAACCTTCTGTCTTTTGTGAATGTGGTCAGCAGAATGCTAGTGCTCAGTCTGGGTCCAAAGCCAGGCCACCTGTATGCCTGCAGCACAAAAGTCTGTTCTCAGACTCCTTAATCTTAAATGGCATGCCTATACTACCAGACTTTTCCCACCTTTAGGCCTTTCTGCAGGGTTGTTTCCATCTATTATATTTTTAACATTAAGAAAGTTCAGAATCTTTGAATTCTCACCTGTAAATTTCATCTTCAATAACCTTCCGGCCACACTGTCCATAAGAATTGTTTCCCATTGTGAAAACTGAAAAACAATGATAAAATGCGTTAGTTTTATTACTGTCCAATCCCCTGAGCGCCTCTTTTCAGATCTACAAAATATTTTCATGCCATTCTCAGTCTGAAATGTGGAGCACTGTAATAGAAAAATGGCATAGGCATAAGCTTTCTTCAAAGCAAGCTCACTTTAATTTAAGTGACCGAATCCATTTTCATCAACAAAACCCAGCAACATTGTTGCAGGCACAGCAGCGGTACCTGGAGCCCATTGCCTGTTTGTCTAGTTCATCCTACGTTGTCAAGGAGACTCAGAAATAGATCAGTGTTCCCACTGGAGTGGTAAATCAACCAACCAACCAGCTCACCCACAGAGAAGCTGCACTGAATTGCTTGGCGCAGCACTGAAAGCCGCTGCACCAGAGAATTCCCAAAGACATGGAGAGACAATTCACAAATAGGATCTTCTCTATAAAGGGCTATTAATTAATTAATTGCTTGTATTAATGCAGCACTCCGGAGCTCCAAGGGGAAAGCAACACAGGAGTATTGGCATAGTCATCCAAAGCTGCATTCAAAAATGTCGGAGTGAGCACGACAAACAGGCTGCACTTGAGCCAGGCCTGGGGCAAGATAAACAAACTTCAGAGTGAAAAAGCTCCCAACACATTTACAGTTTGAGCCAAGCAGAGCTCACGTTTCTCCCTTGCAGCAGCAATCCCACAAAGGATTGCAACAGCTGCCTTTATCCCATTAACAGTGCAGACAGCCCACCTGGGGTCGGTCTGGTTCTAAAGGACAGAAATCAATCTTTTTTCAAGCTTTTAATAAAAGCATAGTCAGGCATCCCTTGTCACCAGCACAAACAACATTATACCTCCTTCACTATCTGTCAGGACCAGGGAATGGGCTCTCCCACAGGACACCTGCAAGACTCGAGTCTGCTGCGGCTTCTCCAGTGGTAATGGAATTGGAGACGGTTCCAAGACATATTCATAGCCCTTAGCTTCATGAAGACAGAAAAACGTTAAGTCAGTAGCTTCCACAAAGTAAATTTAGCATATATGTGCTGATTCCGTTGTACATTCACATAGTCACTTCTGCTTTGTTACAAAAGCAGATACGTTTTAGAAAGCCAAGATACTAATAAAAGAGGCTGACAGAAATTTATTGCAGAGAAAGAGAGAAGGTAAAAGCCATGGTGAGGGCTCAAGCCAATATCACTGCCTAATCAAAGGTCCACCATACCTAAAGGCTGAGTTAAGGCTTCAGGTGGCAGAATTGAAAAACCGAGGCTTTCAGCCATATGTTCAACCACTTCGGTGAACAAAGCTGGATAACATCAAGCACAAACTAAGCAGTCTGTGAAAATAGGGATATTGCAAACAAGGTACAAGAGCAACAATCACAAAAAGAAAAAAAAAAAGGCAGGAAAGGTGAACCAAAAAGTCTTAGGGCTTTAAAGAACAGTAGATTAAAGGTTCTTTCAGAAAAAAGGAATGCAAGAAAGACTAGCTAGGCTAGCTCCATAGGGAATAAGAGACCTAACATTTATGAAAGAAAATGACATGCTGTACTTGAAAAAGATTTAGTAACTTGAAGAATATGTAATCAGTTCCAGTCAATGGGGGGGTAGAGAAAAAGAGAACAGCAAAACATATATCAGTACTAGGGAAAAGGTTAAGGGGAGATAAAAAGCTTTAATATCAAAGAAAGTCACTGTAATAAATGAAATCAAATCCCAGAGGACTCGAAGTATTCTGCTCACATGCAGCAGTGCTTCAACTAGTTCTCACTGTCTTCAATAAAAATAAGAATTAAAAAAACCCTAGAAAATCTACATGTGCCCTTTTGCAGTAAGACACTACTGGATGCAAGGACAGGCAGGCACTGGATGTGACAACAGGATGTTTGTGACTGGCGGGGGCCTGCCACGCAATAGAGCAGGAGCTGAAAGGCAGCCAAGTCTCTGCCTAAAGACACGTGAAAGTCACAAAGCAAAAAAATCTCTTCCTCTCTCTCTATTCCTTCCAGCAGTGCAACACAGGCTACTAGGATCCGTGGTAATCATCACTGGTAGCTGAGGGATTTTGAAGAATAGAGGCAATTAGGCAGCTGAGGAAGAGGAAGGTGAGAGTGAAATATTAGTAGATCAGATACAACCATCTAGAAGTCAGAGGCAAATTCCCCTGAAAATGAAGCATCTACAGAGACAGCGTTGGAACCAGTAGGTAACAAAGTAATGAAACAGTAATGAGCAGCACATCCCAAAAGAAAGCTTGTCTGAGGGAAGTAAAACAAGGAGCATCAGCAATCCCACTGCTGAATTCCCACTTTCAACAGATCCTGCCAAATCCTCTTACTTAGCAGGGCTTGAATTGCAAAACTACTTAACCTATTTCTGGATTTTCTGGCAGAAATAATCTCCAGGTCAGATAACAAGCAAAATAACTACAAGACAACCTGAGACATCAGCACATGCAGAAGGCAGACACAGCAAGAGCTGAAACCTTTAAAAGCAGAAGACATGAGAGGCTTTTCCTCTCTGCATTTTGCTGCTGCTGTTTAAGCTCCCACTTGCTGTGGGTACACATGCTGGGAATCTATCCAGCGTTCCAGCACAAAGCAGCATCACTGCAAACATCAGTATGCTGCACTGTAGCTGCAATTTTCTTTGCTTCTCCTAAAAGTTTAATATTTTGCCCATATCAGATGCATTACACTCTTATACACTATAAAAACTGCTTTTAACATGATTTTCCTCGATTGTTTATGAAGGAATGTCTTCAGAGATAGCCATTTTATGATGAAAGTTTGTGTTTCTCCTTTCTGCCTTTGGTGAAAAGTGTCAATTTTCTGTGCAGAAATCACCATCTTAAATGGTTTGAGAGCCTGGTATAAGACTGAATGACTGAATAATGTGTTTTTCCTTCAAAATTCAACTTGCTATTAAAATAAAAAAACAAACTACAGCTTCACAAACAAAACAAACCAAAAAACCCCAACCAACCAACCACTGACTGTATAAAAAGAGCTCTGTGGGAAAGGAATTTAGTTTATAAGTGCATAGACAACAGAAGTGAGCAAACCGCCCTGCCAAAATCGATTAATTAACTGGGCATTAACATTGTCTACTATCGAATTATAGATTCAAAGCCACACCTTAACCGACAGCCATATTTTCCAGAATAAACAGTTCCATTCCTGCCTGGATGTAACCAAACTCTGTAAGCGCAGTGTATAGAACAGAGGCACACCTTGACCAAGTAAAAAGCACAGAAAAACACAGTTAAGTTCAAGAAAAAGACCTCTAAAAAAAAAAAAAAAACAAACCAAACACCACAAGCACAGCCCGGCACTGCATCAAAGCCTCCTGATATTTTTCACACCTTCAAACTGAAGTTTCCTGTACCACAGGTATCCTACAATGTCGCCTTGCACCCCCCTCCCCCGCCCTGTAAATCTTTAAAACACCCCAATTCTTACTTTTATCTCTTCTGCTCCTCTGGAATCCAAGCTGGGAATCCTTGTTGAGCCCCATACCCCACACTTTGGTGATGTTCGTGGTATTAGAGGCCAGCAGTGTGAATCCATAACCACAGGCAGCAGAGGATATCTTTGAAGACAGACAAAACCCACACCATTCCGTTAGCAATGGTGGCTTAGAAAAGCAAATTTCACCTCACGCTATTTGTTCATCAGCATTCATCCTTCATTAAGCTACATCCATATATGGCCCGAATTCAAGGCATGTATGACTTTGCAAAATTATCAGAAACATTCTTCTGTGACAAGCACAATGGCGCAAATTCAAGTCCGATTTTTTTGCCTTTTTGTTTTTGTGGGCATATATCCTTATTTTTGTATTATTTTGGCCCCATTCAAGCACAACCTGTTTGCTGACCTGCATCAGTAGATTATAAAAAACCCAGCCAAACAAAGAGATATTAAAAGAATAACAGTCCCATTTTATTCCTTTTGCCAAAAAAAGCCTAGGACAAAAGCCATGTGAGGAGTAACTGCGGTCACTTGGTTTGTTCAGCCTGGAGGAGAATGAGGTCAGACCTCATCGGAGTCTCGGGCTCCTTCGTGAGGGGCAGCACGGATCTCTCCTCTGTGTGAGCAGTGACAAGAGGGCACTGAACGGGCTCCCCAGAGCAGCGGTCACAGCCCCAGGAGAGCTCCGGGGCTTTAGGACGAGGCTCTCGGGTGCGACTGCTGGGGTGTCCGGCCCTCCCGCAGGGCCAGGACTTGGCGCCGATGATCCATGTGGGTTCCTTCCAGCTCAAGATATTCCATGAATGCTCTGACCTTCTCTGCACTGAACAGCAGAGCACAACGAGTGACACACGTAGGCAAAGGAGCAGTATTTTCAAAGCAAGCTTCCTATTTGTTCTGCGGGAGGAGCCACTGGAAGCGAGGCCCGTTTTCTCTGGCAATGCTCTTCAAACCCTGGCTCTCTGATAAAACTACAGATATATACTTTCCAACCTGTACGCTGCTGCAGTTATACCAATAATCATCCCGAGTAACACTGCTATATCGACAAAACACTGTGAGTCACGGAAAAGCCTTAAACCCGATCCCGCAGTGCCGTTCTGGCTGTGCAGAGACCTGACCAGGCTCCGGGGGGAAAAACGGCGGCCTGGCCGGGCCCACCTTCTCCTCCGTCTCCAGGCGGTACGGCGTGGGCTGGATACGCCGCGGCCTCTTCCAGCCCGCGTCAGGCTTCACGAAGCTGGGGACGCCCAGGGCGCCCGAGTAGCTAAAGCCCCACACGAACACGCGGTCCTTCCGCTTGGCCGCCTTCCCCGCGTACTGGAACACCGGGGCTGCCTCCTCGGCCTCCCGCCGCTGGCGGGTGCTCGGCGGCCCCGCCGGCCCGCCCAGGGCCCGGCACTGGGGCGGCCGCGCCGACCCCGCCGCCCGGAGTGCCCTCAGAGCCCCCACCATTGCCGCGCTCAGCGCGCCGCCATCTTAACCCCGCCCCTGCGCGCGCCGCCATCTTAACCCCGCCCCTGCGCGCGCCGCCATCTTAGCCCCGCCCCTGCGTGCGCCCTGCCCCGGCGGGCTCCTCTTAAAGGGGCGACACCGGCCTGTCAGAGGGGGGGCCTTGCCGCGCTCGGACCGAACCTGAACCTAAACCCAAACCCAAACCCACACCTAGCTCTAACTCTAAACATACCCCCAGACCTAAATCCGGACCCTAGTATGGATTAGACCCAGTCCAGACCCAAACCAAGATCAAAACCCAAGCTCAGGCCCAAACTTACATGTAGACCCAAAACCCAACCCAAACACAAACCAAAATCCAAACGCAGACCCAGACCAACCCCTGCGTGGCACCAAAACCAGCTGTCACACCACAGTCCCTCTGAAAAGCAGCCCTATCCCCATATCCTAGCCCTCATTTTCCACTTCAGGGAGCAAAGTAGCCGCCTTCCAGGAGGAAGCTGCTGTCCTTTCACCCCCTCAACTACATTTCCTTCCTGACAGCATCTTTTGCCAGAGACTCTTGCCCAACATACCCAAAGAGAACACCTATCCTGTCACCATACCCACCCTGCTCCTCAGGGTCTGCCTGATTCTGGTGGACACTGAGATGTCTATCAAGTGTCTCTCCTTTATTGATGAAACCACAAAATCATTCAAAACACAAAGAGGTGATAAAAGGGGATCTAGAGATGAGGGTCCTGGTGGTTCTGAGGTCTCAGCCCCTTGGAGCTGGTGGACTAGGGCTGGTCCCTGCTGGCAATGCCATCAGTACCCCTTGGGCTGGCCATGACGGAGGGTGAGGGCGGGCGCTGGTCTGTGCAGATTCAGCCAGCAGCCCTCCTGTGGCTTGTGGGGGCTACCAGAACCACATGGACCCCTGCTCTGGCTCCGAGGCCTGGCTGGGCAGGGGTTGGAGGAGATGAAGCAGTGGGTGTCTCGTGGGGGGGCTCAGAGGATCCTCACAGGATCTTCCTCCGGGTCCTCTCAGTGCAGCGGTTCAAGATGAGGTCTTTGCTGGGACGGGGAGGAACAGCAGGTTGAGCCTTGGCCTTGTTCTCCTGTGGCTCATTTTTCTCAACTGCGAGCAAAGCAGATGTACGGATGGGTCAGAGTGCTCCACCACCCACCACCCTCATGAACATTCAGCAGCTTCCTATGTGATGGCCACCAAAGTTTCTCCCTCTCCTCCATGATGCCTGTAGGTCCGGGTGGTGGGATGAACCCACCTATGCCCAGCTGGGAACTCTTCTCAGGGGAATCCCAGCTTTAGGTCTGCACAAGAAGCTGCTCTTCCTTAGGAAGGTCATGGGTACTGCATGGGGACTTCCAGATCCAAAGGTTCTACCTCAATGGCAACCCTTTCTCACGGAGAGAGGCTTTTTACGAGGGGCTGGAGTGACAGCACAAGGAATAATGGCTTCACAATGACAGAGGGAAGGGTTAGATTAAATATTAGGAAAAAAAATCTTGCCTGTGAGGATTGTGACACCCTGGCACAGGTTGCTTAGAGAAGCTGTGGCTGTCCCATGCTTGGAAGTGTTAAAGACCAGGTTGGATGGGTCTTGGAGCAACCTGGTCTAGTGGAAGGTAGGGTTACAGTGAGATAATCATTAAGGTCCCTTCCTACTGAAACCATTCTATGATTCCAGGATTCTTCATACACTTCCCTCTGGGGGCTCTGCTGACAGCTAATGTACATGGCAATGGCAATGGCAATGGCAGAACAGGGGAGGTGAGGTGCACAGAGGAAAGCACAGGTCCCAGATGCGGGCTGACCTCCCTCCAGGTCCATATTCCACTCTGTCTGACCTACAACCAGGGGTAAGAAACCTTGTTGAAAGAAACACCTCCCTGCACACACTTTCCCCATAGGAAAAAGGCAGATGGGCACAGTGTGACCTCGTTGTGCCATCCTGCTCCAGCTGCCAGCACTGGGGGTCACAGGCCATGCCTGCAGGATTCCAGACTCACTGAGACTTACTGATGACAATGGCCTTGTTCTGGGAATTTCCCTGCATGTTCCACCGGCTCTGGATGTACTTCTTGCTGTTCCTCCTGTAAGTCTCCTGGCTGATCTGCTTCCGGCCCTGCTTATGGATGCTCTTCGCGTTTCTGATGGTGGATCTGCAGGGAGTGAGAAACAAAACTTTCATTTTAATGCTGGCAGCTCTAACACCACACACTTCTTTCCCTGTGTTTCCTCCTCTGCTTCACCCAAACCCCAATTTCTGCTTTTGAGTTTTGCCTGGTGGATGCCAGCCCTCGAGGACAACCACGAGTGAGACACGATGTACGATGTATTCAGAGGTAGCTGGATGGTGCTTTAGAAACAAACACTGAAGGTTGAACTCTGAGCACAAGTCTTGAAGGTAACGATGGGGATGGCGAGGAAGATTGGGTGTAAGGCTGGGAGGATGAGATGGGCATGAGGTTTATCCAAGAAAGCCTTGGAAGCTATAGATCTACAGCTCTTTGATGAATGGAAATACAGCACCTATCCTAGCTGCAACACTGAGGTCCCTGCTGTAGGGTTTGGCATGTCTCCCCAGGGCCAAGGATCAGATCAAGGGAATGGAGTGTGGGGCATGTGTCAGCATGCACCTGGATGTGTGGTGTTGAACCCATGGCAGAGAAACTACTGAGAGATGTCAAAGGCTGAGCAGCATGATGCTGCTACAAGAGAACCCACAGCATCAGGACCATCCCCACACAGGCAGACGGAGGCCACTGCTTTGCTTCCACTACCATGGCAGGAGTGAGGTGGCTCCTGAACTCCACCCCATGGCACCATCCTCCTGCCCTTCTTGAGCCAGTGTGTCCGTCTACCTTCAGCCCCTTCCTGGTCTGAGAACACACCCCATGTCATATCAAAGCTCTTACCCACAGTGGCAGGTCACCACCCTCGTAACAGGACTCAGCCTGGCTGCCAGTGCCAGCACTGCAGAGGCAGTGTCACCATGGCAGGGAGTCAAGACACTGTCCTTGGAACAGGCCACCTCATCTCCCCCAAGGGTATCCGCGAGCATCACTGCACTCAAATAGGTGGATCTGGACCACTTTACATGGTCCTGCATCCAGTCCATGATCCATCAGAACTGGATTTGAAGAGATTTTAGAGCAGGGCTGATGTGTTTTCTTGCAGGGAAGAAAAGACAGTTGCAAGCTCTGCCCTTCCTAACCATTCTCTCTGCACCAGAATTAGTGAGTTATTATTGCTTTTTATCTTTTTAATCAAAATAAAATCCCTTCCATTAGCTCAAATTCTCCCATCAGATTAGACCATTTGGCAGCTCCATTTAGTCAAATCTTGCCTCTTAAAGATTCAGTGCATGCACTCAGGAAATAAGAAAATGGCCAATTTGAAAATTAAAGATTAGCTCAGAAAAGAAACTTTGCAGAAGAACAAGGGGAAATGCCCTTGGCTGGAGGATCTGTTGGAACAAGGATCACACAGCCTGGCACCAGCAATGCTAGGGTGCTTTTGGGAGTTGATGAGCAGAGAGCTGGTTTTGCTGCAGCCTGGTCTCTCTGCTCTGCTCACATCTCTTGAAGCAGCTCCTCATTGACAGGGCAAGCAGGTGACACCACAACCCACTGTCGGGTTTAATTTCATCTTGTTCAAGGAAGAGCTTTAGTCCTCCTCCCCTCCCACCCAGGACTTCTCCTACCTCCGTGGAGGAGCACTCCTGTTCCTCAGTTCACTCTTCACAGAGTTTTCCTCTCCAGCTTTCTGCAGGTACATGGAGGGGTAATAACCCGTGGTTTCATCCTTCCTGCAGCGCAACACAAAGCAACATCACTTGCAATCGTGGCTCTGCAACTGCCTCCTCAGTCCAGGAGAGAGACTTGATGATCCTTGTGGGTGGTCAAAGAATCCCAGGATGCTTTGGCTTGGAAGCAACCTTAAAGATCATCTTGTTCCAACTCGCTGCCATGGGCAGGGACACCTTCCATCAGAGCAGGTTGCTCCAAGCCCCATCCAACCTGGCCTTGAACACCTCCTGCTTAGGATATCCCATAATTCATGGTTCATGCCTATCCCCTGCTGGTGTCCTGTGGGTTATCTTTCATGTTCCTTGCAGATGAAATGAAAGTTGAGATTTTGCAAAGCAAAATGTGCCAGACCAATTAGAGGCAAAATAACTAACAGGTTTTTTTCCATCTACCTCCTTCTTGGATATTTCTGAAGTCCCCAGAAGAGGGGACATTTAGTACTTGGCAAAGAACAGACTCTGAGAAGCAGCCCTGCAAAAGGAAGTGCTAGGCAGTGGCACCCGACAGCCCACGGCTTCCACAGCCCTGATGTGGAGAACGATCCCTTCCCTCTGCCTGAATCCTGCTGGCCTGACCTGTTCTTGGCATCTCTCACCTGATGACCCACCAGCCATCAAGGAGCTTGTGGATGACTTCGATGGTATCACCCTCCTTGAGGGTCAGCTCGTCCTCCTCCACAGCTGTGTAGCTTTTCTGGACCACATACGACTCACCTGCACACAAAATGGGGATGACAGATCGTCTGCTGCCACCCCAGGGATGGAGCTCAACCTCCCCAGCCACTGAGGAGAAAGGAGGCACCAGAACATTTGCCCTACGTTTTATGCAAGACCCAGGGTGCTTCAAGTTTGGATTCCAACTTTCCCCAGCCTTGTCACTGCCCATGGCTCATCCCAGCCTCTCAATCATCTCTCCAGAAGAAAGCTGCTGGGTGCAAGCAATGGAAGCACAACTATCTCTGCTGGAAA